TATGGAAATTAGTAAAACTACTTGTAAAGATGGAACAGCTACGGTAAGATTGCATTAAAAAAATACAAATCAGCATGGGGACCCGAGCAAAGGGACTCCACTCTAACCAAGGTTATTCACAGTGACCTTAGAAGATATTTTTCCAAAAATTGGATTGGAGGAATAAAGATGTGAAGATAAATGGTGAAAGTATTAACTATCTCAGATTCACTGATGACAGTCATTATAATACTACCAATGGAAATGACTTGTGAGAAAGGAGTCAAGGACTTAACAGATACGACTGTATATTGGGCTAAAGATAAAGACGAGCAAGACCAAATGCATGTACATACAAAACAAGCTTGCTCAACCAAAGGAAGCCAATATTAGAGGGACATAACCGCGAAACACAATAAAATATGTTAGGGCAATTGTTTAAGAAAATTATAAAATACAGAGGTGCGTGAGACGTTTTGCAAAGTTACGTTTGAAAAGGGAACGCAACATATGCTGAACTTCTTTCACACCGTACGTGGCCAACCGTTGCTAATCGGAGGCGCCGATGTTACAAAAGAAAGTTTTCAATTGGTACATGTTATGCGCTGTGACGCGTGGATCTAAAACGCAGACGGAGAAATCGGTACGAAAAATATATTCTTTTACAAAAAGAAGCGTGGAGAAATGCATCCTAGGAATTGAACTGAGAGGCAGAATGCGGAACATATAAACCGGAGAACAACACACAAATTAGAGGCATCGCGTAGACTGCTTAGAAACGAGAGTGGGCTATAGGGTCGGGCACGTGGCTAGAAGGGATGATAGCCAATGGATGAGACTGGTGACAGAATGGCAGCCAAAATATTGAACACACCGTGCAGGACGATCGTGACAGAGATGGAGCATGGAGATCAGCTCCGCATTCCAGGAGTTAATGTGGCACATTATTACGGTGGACAACCACTGTTGACGTTTCACAAAGTGGTTTCTATCTTAGCGACCCCTCAATAATGATGGGTTGAGTCAACCAAACTCCCACCGCCTTCTCCCGGCGATTTCAAATCGTGACTTTCTGAATGTGAGGTGAGCATTCTGTGAAAAGAGGAAACTCTTTAAACTGGGGTATAGCAATTGGCGCAGTGGTTACGATATTGGGCTATGAACCCAGTGAACTGAGTTTGATGCTGCTGCACGGCTAGCATCAGTGTTGTATCTGTACCGGTCCTTGCTCCCCCTTCGCCAACCCACGCTAACCAGTATGATGAAGCATGGTCACACAAGCCCTATGCTTGAAACAGTATGGGGGAGGCCTTCGTCCAGCAGAGCATTGGCAAAGGACTGCGCAACTATTATTATTGCCATATATTAAACCTAATATTTTGCTGAGCTCCGCTCGGTGTATAAACTTTCACTCAGACCTGGCACATTTGGTTCCGATGTTGTATATCATCCCGTGATTTTTATTTCCTTGAGACGGTGACCTAAAGGGAGATTTAAAATTCAGTGGTGCGAATGGACCGAGTGTGAGGATAGGATGAATAACTACACATTGCAACTGATTAAGTTATTCAAAGTCGTGTCGGTACAAAATAATTTGACTTTCACATTCATGCCGTTTTTTCTGAATGAATACTAATCACAGTATCCTGCCACTGTTATGATCACTAAGGCTGCAATTTACAAGACATTATATATACACTTACACTTCGATATTGTTATCAAAGAATCTCAGAGCAGAATGGGGAAGAGCTAGAATGAAAACCCAATAAAGTGGGGTTAATTTCTTCTCGAGGGTCACTCCAGGGGCACGTTTGGCCAATTCCTTCGTAAATACTATTTTCCTCGTTGGGGTCTACGAGAAAATCCAAAGAAAAAAATAAAACGAAAACTAATGGTCCGTTGATTTACCTAAGATCGTGAGACAACAATGGGCCACACAGGACTTTGTTGTTTACTCTGAATTCAGTTAACTTTGTGTGCTTTCATTTACGAGCAATAAATTATTCTCATTACCCTGTTCCCTTGCACTGGTCAGTGTGGCTCCACAGAGAGCGCTTAATTGGCAATTCCGAATTCGGTTATTTCTGTAAGAGCAAGAGTATGCGAACGCATTTTATGCACTCATATAGGCATTGCATAACTTTGGAGAAAATTGCAAATGTGGTTTAATTGCCAATTTGTGTTCATCCCCGGTCGCCTTCACTAGCGCCGTGACGGTACGACCATCTGACGCGAGATTGTTAAAATTGATTTCCGCTCCATGTGAGTTTGTTGACCGGATGCCAGACAAGCAGACTGCATGGAAACTACATTTTAGCACTCATCGCTGTGAAGTACGGAAGAGGGCCGGTGGGGGGGGGCTTGTAGTACGGGGGGGTTGGGGGGGATAGCCGAGGGCGATACGAGCCTAACAGAGATGCGAGACGCGGGAGACGATATGCTTGGGGGAGATGGATGATGAGGAGGAGGAGGTTCCGAAGGTGGTGTGTGTGTGTATGGTGCGCAAGTGCACACCCGGTGACATACAGCTCTATTTACATCTCAAGGCCAAACATCCTTCTGCCCTGAAGTACGTGAAGACTTTCTGCTGGAGTCTCTGACCCACGTCCAAGCAACGCCGCCTACGCCGTTGGGCCAGAGAGAGTGATGGGTGCGGTGAGGGGGACGAATGCACACCACTGACACAGTGGGGGGTGTAGGCGCTGTAACTGGACAGCATGAATCCCCCGACAAAATGATTGATTCATTGTTATATTTTTTCGGCCCCATATATGCAGGGATTGTATTGGGCGTGGCTTTTTGCCAAATACGGGGTTTTGGGGCGTGTTCTTGTCCAAATAAGGAATACTGGACCGTGAATCGTCAGAAACGATACGGATGTTTCAGCAGCAAAGCGATGCAAAGCTCAATCAATGATCGATCATAGCTCGAGCACTGCTCCGATGAAGCCCATTGGTAACATTTTTGACTGTTAATCCCCACATTGACGACCATTGGCTGACTGTATATTAACATAATGCATCATTCATTCTGTCGGGGATTCATGATGTCCTGTTACAGCGTGCACCAAGGAGGTGAGTAGGCTGAGTTACCGACCGCTCCGTTCGCATCTTCAGCGTCCACCGTTGGTACGGGACTTTGTTGCGATATCAGCGGTGCCAAACAACAGCAGCGCGACCCACCCCAGCCGGGATGAATGGAAGCACCAAAATGTTGTGGCCACTCAGTGTAAAACCCCCTGGCCTGTGAGCCAAGGTTGTGGCTTCAGCCCAACGCGGTTCCCTACATCATGAGGTTTGCACCCAGCGATTCATTCTTCCACCTGCCCGTGTCCGTCATTCAGAGCCATTACCGTGGCAGCCTTGGCACCCCCGTGACTTGTGACATTGTTTGTGGAGCAAACGTCAATAGTTATTTCAGCAGTGCCACACTTTGGACGTGATAGTCTGGATGCATATATATATTAAACAAAGTAAATAGATTTTAAAGTGACCATCTATCTCATCGTTGTGTCTCGTCGTATTTCCAGCGCTACATCTATATATGTAAATATTACATAGGTGGACTGCAGAATATATATTTTAATTATATACAATCGGTTACTTTCAACAGATTCCTACGAATCTGTTCATCTCTGAATTCAGTTAACTTTGTGTACTTTCATTTATGATCAATACATTATTCTCATTATCCTGTTCCCTTGCAATATTCAGCACGGCTCCAAAGACACCAATGAAGTGCCATTGCTAAATTGGGTAATTCCCACGAATAGAATATTAATTCCCACGAATAGAGTACGGTACAAAGCAAATACATACAAAGATGTGTGTTAATAATTTAACGAACAGATAATAAAAAAACAATTCGTCTCATTATGCGTACATTTTTTTCTCCAAATTGACTGGCATGACATCGAACGTAAAGCATAACCCTTGAAGCAGTGCTACCTCGTGAGATGATTATCTCGCTATCTGCTCACACACGGGCTTTTAAAAGCCACGTCTTGAACATCTGTAGTTTAACTGTAACAAACTGCCACCTTCCTCTCCTCTCTCCCCTTCCTGCTGACATCCGCATTTCTCAGTTGCAAGCCGGCTAGGGGAGGGCGGCGGTGGATACGAATTGGCCAATTGTAAATTTGGGCCCTTTTTTTCTCAGGGTGTTTTTCCCCCCACCACCACCACCCTCCTCTGTCTCTTCCACACTTCGTTCCACGGGTGCAGCTGCTGTTATCGGTATTTGCAGACACCCGGCCCATTTCAACCCATGCCCGAGTTCTGAGCACTAACTGTCAGTGACGCATTCATCAGGCGTGACTTACAACTCAACAGTGGATTAAAGGCGGCCCAGAAATTCGAAGGGCACTGACAATGCGCGTAGCATGTTTTTGTTTGTTCAAAATTGCCTTTGCTCTGAAAAGATGTCGACAGCCTCACTATTCTCTCTCTCTCTCACACACACGCACACACACGCCGAAACATGTCTCTAACCTAATGACGAACTTTCAACAAAAATCTTTTACCGCCTGGCGAGCCCAATTTTTCGGGAAAAATTCAGGACAGTGCCATTATGGGATGAGAGGTCCGCCGGGTATCAGCTGGCAGATCAGTTTCGACTTTCACAAATGCCCCATGTGCTGGCGTCGGGGAGAAATGGATGGCGCTCGGGTAGAATGCGACGCACAAATCACAGCGCAGTGATTATGTTATGACAGGCAAACAAAAATTACTTTCACGGGTGAAAAATCCAATTGGTTCTAAGTTACCACATCCCATCAGCACCGTTATCTGTGTAATGAGTCTCACGCATTTAGGACAGAATAATGGTGCTGCTTCTCTGCGCTGCAGCTGCAGATTTGGCTTGTGGCGGTGGCTGATACGAAAGCGGCTCGGGGTTCTGCACTTTAACGTCTCGACGTGAGTGTTGTTTTCACCCCCGAAGGTCCTCAACGGGCATGCGGCCGGCGGTGGGAAGCGGCCATCTGAATGATGCACAAAAGGCATTTTTTTTATTTTACTCACCGGAGAATTTCTTTTCTCGTAAAGTAGCTGCAGTCCTGAAAAACATAAAGAGATATTTTTGGATGAGCGATGCGACGCATCATCGAAACTCCGATTATCACGGTTGGCTACGTACGGTACGGAAGAATTTCAACATATACACACACACATGCATACACACATGCAACACTATTTCAAAAAAATGGTTTCTTTGTGCGAATGTCATTTGACGGTTTTGTTTTGTGATACGTTGTCGAGAGAGAGACCTGTGTGGACGTGGATTTCAACGTAAATATGTTGTAATGAAGTGGTCCTTTCGATAAATCACCTGCATAAAGCTACACGGTGTACAGTGCCTACCTTTATCCTCATTTGCATTTGGGTTTAGTCCACGTGGTAGTTGTATGACAAAATTATCGACATTTGGCAAACAACCACCATGTCGCCTAACCCAAAAGACAAATGTGGATCATTGAATTGTCTACGAAAACCTACTTTTTTAGTGCCTACCTTGATTGAATGCTGGTTTTCATCATAGGGACCCTTTAAATGCTCAAATGAGTTGTCGATGTCCTTACCGTGACAGTAGATTAGGTAATTTCACAGTACCAGTAATTATACGCACCCTTCACTTGTTTTAAAAATGAAATAAAAATAAAACATTCATGTATAAGTAAACAAAGCTATAAACCACGTCGGGTGATTTTATTGGCTTTGGAAAGACACATCAGAATAAATCATGCCAGAGTTTTTTTTCAGTTGATTTATTTTGGTATAGCCCTGTGAGCCATTCGGCTCTTGAATCGGGTGCAACCACAACAAACAAAAAAAACTAAAAACACCAACAAGAAAACATCTTACACATAAAGCAGAGTAGCTGCTTTATGTGAAATTTTAGGAGGTATGTTGATGAACTATTTATTTGTGTTTTTTAAATGAACAAATTTATTTTAAAATCGAGTAAGCGCTCTCTTATTTTGCTAATGGACTATTTACAAGAAGACCATATTTGGAGAGACCGCTCATGCAAACTTGGCCCGTGCATCCACTTCTTCCTGCGGTCTGTTGTCGAGTGCTCTTGCTACACAAAAAAAACGCGTGGTGGAGAAATCGCTTCACGTTGCAATGTCCAGGGTCAGTGGGCCATCTACCACCCAGCCTCCTGGCCACATCAAGCAATGTACTGTTGTCAATGACAACGGGGCGACGAGCCTCTTCTGGCTCTCTGTTTGAATCCTACGAGTAGCAGCACCCCCCCCCCCCAAGCTGTCCGATGGCCTGTAATGCCATAAAAAAGGAATCATATGACTGAAAATCACGGGCCAACTTTAGCCTCGGCCCTCGTCCAATAAATGAATCGATGATAAATTATTCCCGTTCCACGCACAAGCACGCACGCACAACCGTGCGCGCACACACACACACACGTGTAACTACAAACAAACGTGCACACGGACGCACATGCAAATACAAAGATTCCCCATCTAGACTTTAATAGACCGTTGGGGCAAGTGCTGTTAGCGAGCACCTATGAAAGCCGGCGTGGCACGCCTAGGTGGTCAGCACCACGCCCGGCCACCATTGTCTCTCAAGTGTTGATGTTTACACTCCGCATGCGATACTAATTCAATGCTGAATCAACCTAGGGGAGGCCGAGGAGTGGTTCAGATATTCATCACTGATATTGGTCGTGAGCGGGAATCAAACTCGGGTCGCCAATTTAAGCAGCATGCTAACCATTGCACTACATAGTCCCTACAAAGACAAAGATCACTCGTATATCCTTAACAGACTGTTGGGGCAAGTGCTGTTAACGAGCACCTATGAAGGCCTGCACGACACACGAGGGGGTGGGTGGCCAGCACCACGCCCGGCCGTCTTTGTCTCCCAGTGGCGATGTTTAGACACCGCACCAGGTACTCATTTGAGGCTGAGTCGACCTAGGGGAGGCCCAGGACCGGTTCAGATAATCGTCACTGGTGTTAGCAAGCGGGAATCGAACTCTGGTCGCCGTGTTCGTAGCGCAGCGCACTAACCGCTACACTACTGCTCCCCATTTCCTACACACACACATACACCTGTGTGTGTGTGTGCGCAGCGCTGAACCGTCATGGAAGTGATGACCCTTAAAAATAACACAATCAGAAATAAAGCAAACTCCTTGAAATCTTTTGCCAGCGGAACGAAACTGAGTGGGAGAACATCAAGCAAAGTCGTTTTGGGTTTGGCGATAAAATGGGCAGTTGCAACACTGTCTCCAGCCTCGTGTGTCGCTGGCCCAAAACTACTTCATGGTAGTATGGCTAGGAAAGCCTAAACACGTTGGGTTGGAGAACGTGAGTGACAAAATGGTTCTGCTTGTAACAAAAATTGTCTTTTGTGTCAACGTCAAATGGGAAAATAATTCACCGGATGACGCGACAGTTTATTGGCAGACAAGCTTACGTTTTTTTTTAATGCATAACAACTGCACTTTAAGAAGATACAATTTCCTATAAATAAAGTGAAATGGGTTAAGTGATGAGTGTTAAATTACGTGCATCAGAAAATGGCCTCAGTGTAAATGCATTAAAAAGATTAGTGTTAATGGTTGGGAAACATATGTTGCAAATATTTAAATATCTAACCACTGTGTACAAAGATACATTGGCAATGTGTGGGGGGGGGGGGGGGGGGGGAGGGATTCATCATGTTATTTCTCCATTGTTTTTATTGATTCAAAATAGGTTTGATATTAAAGAGAATCAAAACAACTAACGTATACGATATTATATTCTAATTGTGAGTTGTGCACACATTAAGTGGTGGTGCTGAGCTGCTAAACAACAATAATTGCCTAACGTTGGCCTTACCTGATTAAATAAAACGCGTGAATTATCTGGCAACGTGGTTTTCGTATGATCGATTCTCATAAAAAAACAGAAAACCCTGGCATCGTGTGATGGAATTATCCAGGGAAACCTTACTGAGTCTCAATACTCTTTCTTTAGGAGAATCATGCACTGTCAATGATTGTGCAATTCCTTTTCAAGAATGTTTTTTTGCATGAGGAAGGACGTTTGAAAAACGCCTCCCACACAGGGGATATGTGTTGCCAGTAGAGAGCAATGCAGCAAAATCCAATATTGTGTTGTACTCTGCCGCAACGTTTATGCATCTCACCTTCACCAACTCGCATTGACCAGTGTGGTTGTGCACAGATGACCTGCGAGATGTGGGCCTCAACCAGATAAAAAAAACTGTACATGAACATACGTACAAGGGTATAACGCTGAAAGGTTCACACCGGTTCACGAACCCACTACGAAATCAAAGGGCTGTAGATGCACAGGCAAGGGAATAACAGTGAAAAGTTCCCACAGACCGGTTCAAAAATCCACTACGACTTTAAAGGGCCGCACATGTGCAGACAAGGGGGAAAACACTGAAAGGTCTGCACAGACAGGTTGACGAACCCACTTGCACATAAACTATCCCCGCCTGAAACATAATTGCCCAAAGTGGGAGAACGTTTCACTCTTCAAATGGGGCCTTTGAAAGGAAAACGCTGCCAATTTCAAAGTGAAGGTTACGCCCCGCGGAGCTCGCCACGTCACGGACAAATAACTCCTGCTTTGGGCTGGCAGTGTGTGTGATGGCTCACTCCATCTGCCCTGCTGAGCCAGCACCAGCGCCGAGTAGGGTGAGGGCGGTCCACCAGAGCCTTCGTCTTGCCCCCCCACCACCACCACCACCCCTCCCAGAGGGCCAGAGCGCCGGGCGTGACGGTGCTCTCCCACCCCTCGCCACCTCCCCCCCGCTCCCCCCCCCCCCCAACTTCAGGTCACCCACAAAGTCCCTAAGTGTGCCGTGTCTGCTCTAATAGTCCTCACATTTTCGGGTGTAAATGGAAATTTATTTTAAACATCGAATCTCCCACGGTTGCAAATTTTGCTCTGGGCGTGGTAATAATTGGTGGAGGTGAAACAATGATTCGACCGTTTAAATCGATGAGGAATGGTTTTAAGAATGGTTTTGGAAGCGTAATGCGCTGTGAATACAGTGACATGAGTTCTAGACCTGGCCACGGCTAACATCAGTGGCGATTGATATTCTGAGCTGGTTCAGGGCACACAGCCCCTTCACCAACAAGTGCTGACCGGCGTGAAGTATGATAATAAATCCCCCATGTATGCATGTTGAATGTCTTTCGTACCGTACGTAGCCATCCGTGCTAATCTGAGCGACATGGGAAGGCCTTCATCCAGCAGTGGATTGACAAATTGATTTAAGTGATACATTGTTATACTGGGATGCAGAAAAAAAAACCGTGGAAAGATGGCACGGGGTTTATAATATTGTGTATGCACAAGTGGGCTGATCAAGATGTACAAATACGGGCTTTTATGTTTTGTTTTGTTTACAATCCAGAACAGAATGAGAACATCCTCATGCCATGCAGATAGTGGAGGTTATATGACTATACTTCACCACGCAGGTCATTCTAGGTTGGTGAAGGCGGAGAGAATAGGTATGGTACCATAGAAGTACAGTACAGACATTTATTTTTCTGCACTGCCCTCTGCTGATAACCACGTGGCATAGCCCCAAGGCCGCCTATGGCAACCTAGTCACATCTATAGGAAACGGCGCGTTCCGGGCAATTTGCTCATAGGCTGATTATATCTGCACAGGACTATAAATTACAAACTCCTAATCGGGGTCACGCTGTCTGGAATTGTAGAAAAAATACTGTGCTATAGTCCGTACTACCTGGGGTAGTACCTGGGGTAGTACGGACTGGCCGTATACGGTCCAATAGATAATGCACGTGGTTTGAGTTTGAGCACAAGGATAAACGTTCAATAATGAATGCGCTTTTTGCCATCAACGTGAACGGATAATTGCACCTCCTCTTACATTGTGCCTGCTGATGCAGTGACAAACACGAGATCCGTTTGGAGCGATATTATATATGTAATAAAATTAATGCCCATTGCCACTCGACTGCTGAATGACCATGCCAAATGGGGAGCTATTCTACCATACTTCACCACGCTCGTTCGTGCGGGTTACGATTGACGACTACTACATGACCGTCACTTTCAAATTCATGAGTTCAACGAATGTCCGTTCCCGTATTCCAAAAAGAAAAAAAACCCAACAAACTGAAATGGACATCGTCTAAAATATTCCCTCTTAATAAAACGAGCGTTGGACTGTGGTCATCTCTGTTTTGCAACCATGAGCCAGCAGCTTAAAAGGCTTGTACACTCTATGGTGGAGACCAGCATAGCAGTGGAGACCACTTCATATGGTTCTTTCGGTAAAGTCACGTAGAATGAGAATAAAATAATACATTAATAAAATAAAATAACACAATAAAATTCTCACGACGTTTCGGCCACAACACAAGTGGCCTCCAGACAGGACAGCGCTGGAGCTCCAGCGCTGTCCTCCAGACAGTCTCGTCCCTTCACCTGATGAAGGCCACTTGTGTTGTGGCCGAAACGTCGCGAGAATTTGATAGTGTTATTTTATTTTATTAATTTATTATTTTATTCTCATTCTACGTGACTTTACCGAAAGAACCAAAGAAGATGAATCCTTGCAGTCACGAATGCTTTAAATCGAAATTCAGTGGAGACCACTTCATATGATCGGAATGTTAATTCACAAACATCATCCTCATCAATAAATAACAACCTCAGCCGCATTATATACACACACAGGCACTGTAACATTTATAACCAAGTTTAAAACCAAATATTTGGAAACGCCGTAACGCATCTCTCCGAAACTGCATTTCATCATTTCACAACTCCATTCTCATGAGCCACAATTTACCTGCAAGTTGTAACGTTCAATCAGAGCAACTAGGTTAACATTTGCACGGGTGCGCACATCCTCACCGCCACCGCGGCGTCGCCACGCAAAGAAAACTCGGCGCGACTCTCTTCTAAGTTGCCGTGCGACGTTAACGCAGCGCTTCTTTAACCGCTACTTCAATCGACATCACCCAAAAATCTGCGGAAACGCTCCCGCCCCCCCCCCCTCGCTTCTCTCCTTCCTCTCACCTGGTAGGCGTCCAGCTGCTCTTCTGTAAAAATGGTTTGCTTGTTGCCCATCTCGGAGTAGCGCGGGGGGCCGAGGTGGCGACGCACCGCGACATCACCCAGCCGCTTCTTAAGAGCTCCCACCAAGACGGACACACGGAGCGAGAGGAATAGCGCGCGAGCCTCTGGCCGCTACAGCCCGCTCGCTGGCTGGACGGGCGCACACTGGGAGGCGAGCGTGCATAGCGCACACCCTGGTCACTCGCCGGGGTGTAATAGGGAGGGACGTTGCGGCAACTACAGTGCAGTACTTTTTCCTCCCCTTCTTCTTCTGCTTCTGCTTCTTACATCAAATAAATATATGGGTGCGAATGTACACCAGCGACGCAAGGTACACAGAACCAAAGCTGTCTAACCACACGTGGATTGAGCTGCTCCGCTGGAGCTCGCGGCGCTGCTCTTTACACGGCAATGATAATAATGCCCTGCAAGTGTTTGCGAGCGCACGTTGATTGAAGGGGGAGGGAGGGTAGGCGGGGTGGGTGCGGGGCGGGCAGGCGGGCGGGCGGAGTTCTCGCGGCGCGCTCGACCGTTCAGGTCAGCACCATGGACAGCGGCGGCTCAGAGGTGCTCAGCTCAGTATTTTCCAACGGCGGCAATACAGCGACCCTGCCACTGTGTCATATTTGTCGTCATTATAATCTTTTGTTTCTCAACGCTTCTCTCTCCTCTGCATGGTTTTAATATTGCGCCTGCAGATGCACAATTCTCACCTTCCCCGTTCATATTCGTTGTCTAATCTCCCGCTGTTCTTAGGAATAGGTTTTACCCTTTTAACTGGCACAAAAAACTGACACCTTTATTCAAGGCATCATGTTTGCAATAACCACAACACAAGCAGTCAAAATGCAAACAAAAAAGACAACTCTGATACTAATATGCACTGTCCTTGTGCCCTGCAAGTGTTTGCGATGCACTGTCCTTGTGCATATTATTATCAGAGTTGTCTTTTTTGTTTGCATTTTGACTGCTTGTGTTGTGGTTATTGCAAACATGATGCCTTGAATAAAGGTGTCAGTTTTTTGTGCCAGTTAAAAGGGTAAAACCTATTCCTATATCTTGTTTCTGGCAAAGGAGGTCTCATAATGTAAATCCCGCTGTTCTTCTTCCCAATGTCATCTTTGCCTTCGGTACAATTGTCATCTTCTCATCGCTACATCCTCTTCGTCTTGATTTTTTATTTTCGTATTCTGTCTCCCGCTCTCTATTCCACAATTTTACTCTCTTTCACATTCTCAAAACCCGTTTAGTTCCGGTGCTATTTCACCATTTTGTGGGTCTATAGTTGCGTAGTATATGGTTAAAAAAGGTTTTTTGTCAAAGTATTACATTTTAGCGTAAACACTTAAAGACAAACATTATTTTTTTTAATTTAAACAATTGTAATCTTGATGACTTAGTGTTTAGCTTACAGACAACCGATGCGAATGCTGCTTAAGCAGTATTATGTATACCAAAATAATGTAAAAGAAAAAAGTGAAGTGTAGTCAATTGGTTAGCTGAAGATGACTCCAGTCAGAATTACACAAAATACGAATATAAATTTTACGTCAGTCGCATTAACCCACCTATCTACCCCCGTCGACCAAAATATCCCGCAGAATATCTGTCGTTCCAAATGTCGAGATCGTCTCAGTCACAATATATACATTTTAGAAAACCTTCATGTTTTAATTTAGTGTTATTGGGTGGATGACGGGCATACAGAGAGTTGCAACATTTTGTGGCTCTCACAAAATGCGTGAAACTCCTAACCCCACTGGGCCCAAGAGGTGGCCACGAGATGGCAGCACAGCAAACGGTTTGAATCAATCTGTGCAGACCTCTCAGCGTCATTCCCTCATTAGTCTGATGGGAGTTCTCCGGGTACTCCGGATACCTCGTACGTGGGCATTGGCTAAACATCCCAAAGAAGGTCTCTCCTGAAAAATCAAACGGTCTCAAGACTTCTGGATGAACAACACCTCCCTTACCATTTTCTTTGGGTCTATCGGTTAAGTCACGTAGATAGGTTCAAATAAAATAACAAAAAAACTACGACGTTTCGATCACAACACAAGCGATCGTCATCAGGAGGCAAAAAAGAGGGGTAGGGATCGATCGCTTGTGTTGTGATCGAAACGTCGTAGTTTTTTGTTATTTTATTTGAACCTATCTACGTGACTTTACCGAAAGACCCAAAGAATATAAATTCCTGTAGTCACGAAAGCGTTAAGTCAAGATACCCCCCTATTAATTATAGTTACAAGATAAAGGGTGGTGCTTTGTTGTTGTTATTATAATTGTGTGTTTGTGTGTGTTGTGGACACGATAAGGATGCAGTTGTAGAAATACAGTTTTGTTTTTGTGTTTGTGTGTATCGAGGGACGGTATAATTTGAAAGAATGCTTGTATTACTCCGTGGGATTAATTTGAAATTCGTGGCATGAAAAGCACAATTATTGGGATGTAAAACGCAGCATAATGTTACGCCTCATAGAAGCCGACGGAGATTATAATTGCAGACGTACACGAAATGTGATAAGCGTAAATCCATATTTACTGTAATCAGCATTAAATATGCCTATCAATCGTGCGAATGTGTTGTAAAATGATTTAGCACAACCTCCAAATTAATTTTCTCGAAGCTACATATTCCTGGGCTGCGTGTGTGTGTGTGCTTATCTGTACACATAATTATAAGTAAGCACATATTAACTCACGCCTGATTAAACAAGTTTTTAGTTTTCCTATTGGTGGTCCGTCATTAAGCTGAAAGGTAGTTTCAGCACTCAGAAAAAAGTACACTCTGGTCTTTACAATAATCATATGGTTACGTGGTCACCAATGCAGTAAACATGTTTGGTACACTTTGCAAACAAATGTCTATGGCAGGCATTTTCGCATACAGGGTATCCATCGTATGTATCAAATACGGTACACAACCATCTGACAATGTCTCCTTCACGTATCCGTCTTTACATAAAGTCAATTTCTTACACAACCCATCAACCGCACGACCTTCTGTGAGTGCGTAAACCCAGTACTGTTGTTTCCAGGCAGGCAAACTCTGGACCTGCTTTCACATCGTGTTGTCTTATCGGTAGCCAGGCATGCTCGATTCAATGCTGATGAACTGCCACACCTTAAAGGCAAGGACTCTCTCCTTATGCTTTCAGCGTCCTAGTTCGACGCTAAATTAAGTAGCACTAATGCTTCTTTTGAGTTAGCGATCATTCATGTATCATTCCTTCACAGCCGTGGGTGTAGTTTTGAATAACGTGGCGTATGACCGTAACGCGATCGTGGTACACGACGTCCGTGCAGTGATGTATATATTTATCCAAGTTGCAGCCAGGCTCAAATACGTATTAATACGTAATAGATGTTTTTTTTTATTTTTACGCTACACTCCAACTTTACAGAACTGTAATTCTAGATTTGAAGTTTTCGTGACTGCAAGGATCCATACTCTTTGGTTCTTTCGGTAAAGTCACGTAGGTAAAAAAATAAATTAATAAAACTAATTAAATAAAAAAAAGTGTTTGCAGGATACGAGTTCATAGTTCGTTTCTTGAGTCGTTCACCTCTAAAGCCATACGCTGGCTCAACACCATCATCAGCGTCGTTGTGACGAATATAAGTTACGAATATAATAACACAATATTGTCCGCTTAACTCATTATGCTGACTGTGTAAATAAGTTTCCACTTATTATATATGTATAATTATACAGAATACGGTATAGGCGAGGAACGGTGGCGCTGTGGTTAGCCCACTGCGCTTCGAATCGGGCGACTTGATTCCAATTCTCGGCCACGGCCAACGACAATCAGTGGCGAGTGATATCGGAGTTTACACGCTTTTATTGAACTCACTCTGTTGTTGTATCCTCAAATCTTGTAACTCAATTTTAACCCATTTCCCAATTTGGTATCGACTGCAAACTTTGTATATTTATGTCATACTGATGACAATACTATATTCTATCATTATATATATTTTTTACATTATTTTTTATATGTTATGTTTCGGCTTAGGTCTAATTGTCCACGGTAAACTGACGTTGCCTGTAATTTACCACGGTCCCCTTACGTTGTGGCAAAATTCGGGGCCACTTCCTGGAGTCGTGGAGTTCTTCCATTGCTAGTACATTTCATAAAAGCGTGTTTTTCAAAGTTATTTTTTTTAATATTACTTATTTTTATTTGTAAAAGCATGCACGTAATACACCCCTCTGCACTATACGGGTTGAGCGGTGGTGTAGCGGTAAACAAAAAAAAAACGTGGCGACGGACCAAGCGACCTAAGTTCGACTCCTGGGTAAAGCTAACATCAGTGGCGAGCGATGTCTGAACGGGACATTGGTGTGTGCCCCTCCCTCCCTCCCTCCTCCCTCCCTCCCTCCCGCCACTTCACCAGCCTGCACTGAGCAGCGTGATGAATGAGGAGGTACGGTCAAGCAACCTCTGCGAACGAACCTTCATTAAGCAGTGGATTGACAAAGGCCTGCAAATTGTGAACGTACATTATTTGTTCACTGTTCAGTGTACGAGTTCAAAGACCCGGTCACACTGGTGTGTTAACGAGCGTAGGAGGCCCTCGCCCGTCTAAATTCTCGTTATTATGACGTGAGCTGGCGTTTACATGGACCTCAAGCGCTCACAAAATTCAATTTACAATGTGATCAATTTATGGATGCCCCATTAAAAAGGAAGGGGAGAAATTTAATAGAAAAAAAACGAGTTTTTATTTCAATGCCTGTCTCCATGTCTCCCAGCGATATCAATACAATCATTAAATATTTTAACAGCCTTCTCGGTAAGACATTGAGCCATCAACTTTCACAACATTCACTCACCTGTTGAGAAGCGAAGAGGGTCGGCGACATCGGTAGGGTATCTGTAAATGGATCGCCCCGTATTAGCTGTTTCTTAAATGCGTGCACAAGTAACATAAGATAATATTATTATTGATGGTAATAAAAGTAGTCACACTGCATTTCAAACAACACGCAATTTTTTTTAAGGCACAGCATCTGTGCATAAACCAAATCCAACTGCATTTTCTCTGAAAGTGTAATGTTATCTTCTTGTCTTAAGTCAAATACATTTGAGCAAACGTGATCGACTGACAGTAGCAGCGATATAGTGATAGGAAACTGTGGACAGGTATCATACTTATTACGACTCATCAGCACAGGATAGTCACTGCTGCAGAGACTTCCTCCGGAAAACATTCACGTGGAGTCCCCACTTCCACTCTAAGGCGCCGATTATCTTGGCTATTTGCCAACGATTATAAAATATGTGAATGACGATGAAAGACCCACCACCATCATCGTCATCACAACAGCATAATCGTGCAGGTCGAAACGTCGTATGCTTCAAACAACACGCAAAAAAAACATTGTGTAGAAATAACCCACTCCACTGAGCCTTTTTGCATAATCAAAAACCACAGAACGTTTCCTGTAGGAGTGCACTCCAAAAGAAATGCTGTCCGTCGGTCAAAGTTCCTCAAAACATATTTTGACGGTGACCTAAGATAAGAGAAACACTGAACGTCTTTAGGGAACGGTGATGGTTGTATGCAAAATACACATCGGCCGCGTGCATGCTGTCAAACACGTTTCTTTTGGTGTTGTGGCTTGTTTGAAACTTAAGGCTTTGGAGTCCGGGCCTGCACTCGCATTCCGTTGTGATGGATTCTTCTCGTCATCCACAGATTTTATCGCACCGCTTTGCTCACAACTCGAGCCATGAAGCTGGTTAAGTTGACCAACGACCACGTTGTCAGTTGTATGTTTATGCACGTGCACGGCAATTGTGTCAACCCACTGCTGAATGAGGGCATCTCCGCGCTGCGTCTGTCGGTCGTAGGACACTGGTCATTGCAGCCTGTTAAGAGGGCAGGGAGCACATACGTGGACGCATAGAAAGTGCAGTGCAGCAGTAGATATTTCAGCATGCAGCCCAGTAGTCTACAGCCTAGAACACCGGTCATGCATGGTGGTCGCCCATACAAATCCTATGCAGCATCAAGGGCTGCTTAGCTTCTGGAACCTGAAAAGATTGGACGCATTCAATGTTATTTGTTGATAGGCTGTCTCTCTCTATATATTAGCCACATATTGACAATCTCAGAAGCCAAACTACCATTACGGGTGCGAAGCAGGCTACGTTACGTAAATGTGTATGTCAATTCAGTGCAAATTTGTGCGAAGAGCATGTGTGGGAGCGACGACTGGTATAGTACTAGGGTAGGTACCGCCACCCCATGGAGGTGATGATGCCATTGCAGTATTATCGGGACTTCCATGTGAGGATTTAAGAATTTGGAAAATGATTGACCATACCATTTAAAGCTCATAACCGTATCATGTGGGAAATATGTTGTGGATAGCAGAAGGCAGTGCAGAGACATTATTTGTTGTACTGTACGTGTATGCTGCCACGTCTATGCTCTCCCCACCTTCAACCGACCAGCAATGACCGATGTGGTGAAGTTTTTCATAATAAACTAAAATTATATTTTATTTTACCAGGTAAGGCCCACTGAGCTATAGAGCTCTTTTTTAGAAGCGATCTGGCCACAAATTATAGCTCAACGAAGTGGCTTATCGTGTGGAAATGTATAGTAGCCAAATACTCCAAACGCATGTTTCTAAATGAGGAAGGAAACACCGGAGGACCCGGATAAAAATCCACACCAGCACGGGGAGAACATGCAAACGCCAAATACACAGGCGTCAGTGTCGGGATTGAAGCCACGACCTCCTGCATACCAGGCGAGGTAGTTAACATCTCGCCACGGCGTGGGGTGGGAGGCTCTTGTCCAAGTTGAAGCTCAATGTTTGCTCTGTTTCACCGGGTGACAACTCGAGCCACCAGGTAAGAGTCTCGTTTTACAACAGCGACCTGGATCACCAAGCCAGCAATGGATTAACACAAAAAGGGGGATATGTTCATACACATACGAAGAAATGACAATGCTTACAGTGAGGGAAAAAAGTATTTGATACCCTGTTGATTTTGTACCTTTGCCCACTGACAAAGAAATGATCAGTCTATAATTTGAATGGTAGGTTTATTTGAACAGTGAGAGACAGAATAACAACAAAAAATACAGAACAACGCATGTCAAAAATGTTAAAAATTGATTTTAATGAGGGAAATAATGAGGGAAATAAGTATTTGACCCCCTCTCAATCAGAAATATTTCCGGCTCCCAGATGTCTTTTATACAGGTAACGAGCTGAGATTAAGAGCACACTCTTAAAGGGAGTGCTCCTAATCTCAGCTTGTTACCTATATAAAAGACACCTGTCCACAGAAGCAATCAATCAATCAGATTCCAAACTCTCCACCATGGCCAAGACCAAAGAGCTCTCCAAGGATGTCAGGGACAAGATTGTAGACCTACACAAGGCTGGAATGGGCTACAAGACCATTGCCAAGCAGCTTGGTGAGAAGGTGACAACAGTTGGTGCGATTATTCGTAAATGGAAGAAACACAAAATAACTGTCAATCTCCCTCGGCCTGGGGCTCAATGCAAGATCTCACCTCGTGGAGTTGCAATGATCATGAGAACGGTGAGGAATCAGCCCAGAACTACACGGGAGGATCTTGTCAATGATCGCAAGGCAGCTGGGACCATAGTCACCAAGAAAACAATTGGTAATACAGTACGCCATGAAGGACTGAAATCCTGCAGCGCCGGCAATGCCCCCCTGCTCAAGAAAGCACATATACATGCCCGTCTGAGGTTTGCTAATGAACATCTGAATTATTCAGAGGACAACTGGGTGAACGTGTTGTGGTCAGATGAGACCAAAATGGAGCTCTTTGGCATCAACTCAACTTGCCGTGTTTGGATGAGGAGGAATGCTGCCTATGACCCCAAGAACATCATCCCCACCGTCAAACATGGAGGTGGAAACATGCTTTGGGGGTGTTTTTCTGCTAAGGGGACAGGACAACTTCACCGCATCAAAGGGACAATGGACGGGGCCATGTACCGTCAAATCTTGGGTGAGAACCTCCTTCCCTCAGCCAGGGCATTGAAAATGGGTCGTGGATGGGTATTCCAGCATGACAATGACCCAAAACACACGGCCAAGGCAACAAAGGAGTGGCTCAAGGAAAGCACATTAAGGTCATGGAGTGGCCTAGCCAGTCTCCAGACCTTAATCCCATAGAAAATCTGTGGAGGGAGCTGAAGTATCGAGTTGCCAAACGTCAGCCTCGAAACCTTAATGACTTGGAGAACATCTGCAAAGAGGAGTGGGACAAAATCCCTCCTGAGATGTGTGCAAACCTGGTGGCCAACTACAAGAAACGTCTGACCTCTGTGATTGCCAACAAGGGTTTTGCCACCAAGTACTAAGTCATGTTTTGCAGAGGGGTCAAATACTTATTTCCCTCATTAAAATGCAAATCAATTTATAACATTTTTGACATGCGTTTTTCTGGATTTTTTTGTTGTTATTCTGTCTCTCACTGTTCAAATAAACCTACCATTAAAATTATAGACTGATCATTTCTTTGTCAGTGGGCAAACGTACAAAATCAGCAGGTGATCAAATACTTTTTTCCCTCACTGTATATAACAAGGCTTAAGCGGACAAGTGCTGCTAAAATAAACGTGCATAAGTCAGAGGGTGGAGCGGTGGTACAAAGGTTAGCGCACCGTGCTATAAAGCTGATGACCTGTGTTATCGCTTGTCGACCCGTATCATCCTTGAAAAAGAGACTTGAGAAGAATCAGTGAGTTCGCTCTAAAGCAGATAATTATATCTATCAGTTACATAAAAAAACGAGAATTAACTTTCAATACGTAAACGAATGTCATGTTTTTATTTATTTTATTCACACCGAAAAAATCAACCTCAGTAAGTCTCAAGACCTTTCCAAGAGGGGTCCTACTTGGGACCATTGGCCAATTTTCTCATTGCTGGGTCTATTGTTTTGTGTTTTTCACGGGAGTATGTACTGTATGGTGGACTTCTTTTGCACCGTACGTAGCCAACCGTGCTAATTGGAGCTGCGGAACACTGTAGTAGCTTGCAGGGGAAGGGAGATAATTCACATACATCACTTCATATAGCTCTCTGAAACATACTTGCTGTACTGATTAATGTTGAATTTAAATTCCCCTCGTGCGACCACTACGTGCACGATGGCCCCATCTCTGCAAGAAAAACACTAAACGCTCATACAATGTGCTGGATTAGACGCGGACGCCTCTTCATAATCTAGCAATCATACCACAGGATGCGTATGGTGGTGGGGTATTGCTAAGTTGGAAACGAATTATCATACACTATTGCGTTTTAAAAAGTTGTACTGCCCGGGTTCAGAGTGCAGTGCTCTAACCACGGCGCCACCGCTCCCTCCAGACAACTTAATGAATATAATCGTATTTCCAGGGGGGTGTCATTGTGATGGCAGAGGACCTCAACTCGCAATTGCCAGATGAGGAATTTAAATCCCGGTCTGGGTTGATAAAATTGATACCTCCAGAGTCCACATAGTGAACGTGACTGTTTTGTGTCAAGAGCTTAATTCTTCTGGTAGGATTTGCTGCCCAATCGGAATGTGGAATTCCTACCGCCGTCCCACGGATGTTAATGATGATGGTTACCACCCGAATGCTGTCATCTGTCCTTGTTTTTGACTGCATAGTGATAGGCACATATGTGACTCGTGAGCAATGACGCAGTTACTAAATAATCGTGGTTTTAATGGGCGTGTGTGTTTTTTATATCGTTCTAGCTCAGGGTGCATGCACTGCGTATGGGTGTCCAGAATATATCGAGTTAATGATGCTATGTTAACTTATGCATATATTAGGCTAATAATAGCCTACTCAACCTTACGATAGTCTTAACTCACGCGATGATGTAAATACAATCCCATAAAATATTGATTGCCAACGCACTCTTGAAGATTGCAACGAAACAAAGCAACGGGCTCCGCAAATTCTCCACGTGCAAATCACGGCCGTTGTCAAACCGTTCGGCTCAATGAAATGAGCCGCAGCTATCTGAATTGTGCAGCCAGGCAAGATTCCCGGGAGTGAGCGCATCCCAATGCCTGGCACAGGCCGCGTGTCCGCCGATACAGACAGCGTCTCAACAACAGCAGCAGCAGCGTTATCACTCGCACCGCCCTATCTGCCGGAGATGCGGGAGGCGAGCGTGCGAGTGGCGTTATTTGCTTTGCGGTAAGATTTATCATGGGCTTCGTGAATGTGGCCAAGGTCGTAAGAAATGGTTGGTGGGCAGTGGGGAGGATGAGCAAAGGAATGAACGTGGATTGAAGAACGGGTGAGTTATTCCGGCAAATCAGTGGATGCACCTACACATACACACCCGACGAGACTGAATGGATTGGTGCGTTGATGCTGACCTTGTGCGTATCGCGTTAGTGGTTAGCGCACGGCCTTTTGAACCTGGTAACCTGCGTTCGATTCTCGACCACAGCTAACACAAGTGGCTCGTTATTTATCTCAACCGACCCTGGGTGAACTCGGCCTGAAATGACACTGCGGATACAATGACCCCCGGGTACGGTGGTGGCCACAGCCCACACCCTCTTGTGCTGACTTCAATAGGTCCTTGCTCACATCACTTGCCTCAAGGGGTCTGATCAGGACTAATCGAGGGAGTTTTAGCATGTACGAGTGCTCTTGAGAAGTATATAGAAAATTCCCTTTGGGAAAACCGATCTCAGTAAAATCAATGTTGCCGATAGAGTTGGGATATTTGATGGTTAGGCGCACATATGTATTGACACCAATAAGCAAAGCGGATCAGAAAGCAGCATTTTATGTGATTGGGCTGAACCTCCCAGCCCGATAAGTACGTTCATCGGAGGAACCGATACACATACTTATTGGGCGCCATGGTAGCGAGATGTTAACTACCTCGCCTGTATGTATGTTTGTAGAATTTCTTTCGTACCGTATGTTGCCAACCCTGCTAATCGGAGGTGCGGGGGAAGGTATGAAGAAGGTAGTGGATTCGATGCCAACCCTGCCCCGTGTCTTGAGATATGACGAGATCGGGCACATTCCAGGTTATTTTGTCACAGGCTGTTTAATCCGAGTACTAGATAGTTGAATTCGTTTTGTCTGGCTGCCATAAATAATTCCAGTGGGTACAACAACATTGATATCATTATCACGAAAGCAATTTACAGTCCTTTGGCAACACACTGCTGGAAGAAGGATTCACGTGTATCGTGTAACTCCTGGAGTTTATTTCGCCATACTTCACCACGCTGGAGGCTAGTCAGTGCGGGTTAGTGAAGTGTGTGTGTGGTGGTTGTGTGTGGTGGTTGTGTGTGGTGGTTGTGTGTGGTGGTTGTGTGTGGTGGTTGTGTGTGGTGGTTGTGTGTGGTGGTTGTGTGTGGGGGTGGAGGGGGTGTGCCAGGATAGTTTCCCCGTGGTTAAAAAAAACATTGGCATAGTAGGGGGCACAAGTGGTGCATCGGCCAGTCATCTCCGTCAGTCAACCCATAGCACCTGGGTCTGTCCCGTGACCTCCTGCCAGCGGGCGTTCGACACTGCACGTGGCCATGCCGTGCACGTAGCTTGGCACAAGCGCCGTGGTGACGTCACCGACACTTAGTGGCGAATGTCGGTTGTTGTTGGGGTGCCAGGAGCGGTGCACGTTATGCTCAGGTTTTCCTTCGCCGGTAATATCCTAAAACTCAGGTTGCAGCGTTCAAAGAGCAGTGTGCTAACTATTGCGTCGCTGCTGTACATCCCCCATACACGAATAATATACCTGGATCGACACAGAACAAGGTTGCTTGAAAACTTACTCAGAGAAAATTGGTCAATATTATAACATACTGTGTGCAAAAACATTGCTGTGAAATGTCAGGTCAATAATAGTCGAGCGTAACCTGGCGTTACAGTACTGTAGTATATAATCGGGCACCATAAAAGGCTTTAAAGGTGTATTACTGACGCCACTGAGCTCAGGAATGTTTTCATTTGCAAGGTGCTTGTTGTTGCTTTTATTGAAAACCACGATGCGTCTTAACCGACGCATTTGTTATACATTCTTGTGTTTAAAATAGCCAGCTGGTGACATTTTCATTTGAATGACAAAACACGTTTCTTTAAAGGCACGTCTACATTTAGAAACCAATCAATTATTCGTTTGTTCTTTCACGTGACTTTACCGAAATAATCAATTACTCATGCACATTGTGGTCACACCCACCCCCGAAATATTGTGACGTTTTGTCAAGCAGTTTTACAGACCACCTGGCGCATGCAAATACACGTATGACCACTTTTTTAGTCCAGGAACTCCTCTACTTACGAACACTCGACTTACGAACAAACCTGCCCGTATGTCCAGTTGCCTGTTCGGACCGAGTTTTTAAAGAGAGTAGAGAGGAACCACGGGCACCATAAGGAATTAGCATCTACATTCGCAGAACATGAAGAACCAATGGCATCTACATCTGCAGAACACGAAGAACCAGTGGCATCTACATCAGCAGAACATGAATAACCTGTGGCATCTACATCTACAGGAGATTATATATTTTTTAAAAGCCATTCCCCGTGTTTAGTGTACATGCCATACAACATTTTTGGAATCGACAAGATTAAAGTTGAACTTACGAACAAATCGACTTACGAACATTCCTCTGGAACTATACAATATCCTAAAGTAAGAGTATAGTACACACACACACACACACCCTAATCATTTAAGAAAGCCACTACTGTTCGTGAGCTTTTGTCAAAAGACATTTTACTATTTAACCAAGACAATGAAGCCGCTCCCTTGAAATAGATTATCATGTATCCAACAATGGGAAAAAGAAAGATGTATACAAATGAAAATTACAAGGTGCTTCAAAATAATGTTAACACTTAAATGGGACTATCGTTTTTAATGGAAAAAGAACGGATAATACACTGTAACATACCAAATGTATCTCAAAAGCCTCAAAAAGTCAAAGAATCTCCACTAGCTCGCCATCATTGTCAGATATACACCCCAGGCCCCCAGTGGGGGCTGGGGGATTACGCAATAGTTCAGGTCCCTCCAGAAGGTTCCAGAGAGTAGGCGTGGCCAGGGGCGGAGTGACCCTGGGAGCTGTATATAAGGCAGACCCTGAACGGGTTTGCCAGTCGTCGTCAAGCTGAAGACCTGAAGAGCCGGCCTAGCATAGGACCCTGGAAACCCCCGGACCCGACTTCCTTATAAGGGCCGGGGCTGAGTGGGCCAGTGGCCGGGACCCGAGGACCTTGGCTAGGTGGGGTCAGCTCTTCTCCCCTAGGTGACCCTAGCCGGAGGGTTGATGTATATAGAGAAAGTGGTCCCAGTGATTAGGACACGCTAGCCCCGATGCTATACCTCCCCAGGGAATCGGGTGGAAGGGGCCGATACCCCTTTGTGTCAGGGACCTTGTGTTACCGTTATAGTTGTTATAAATAAACGTGTTGCCTCCAGAGAAGACTGAGTCTCCATCATTACCATTACACATTAAAAAATATATATGGGGCTGTTTTGCTATATTTTACCTTTCGGTTTGACCCCAAAGCGTCACATGCCTTCCAAAATCTCCCTGATCATGTCTGGCCATTCTTCAAACTGACCGTGTTTACTCTCCTCACTCACGAAATGTTAAAACTCAGCCCTGTACACAATTTCAAGGTTCAGCAATCATTCATCATTTTTGTTATTCAAATAATAATACGCAGGGTTGAATCTCTCACCGAATATTTTCGTAGCCGCTGATAAGCATCGATTCGGCACGTGACTAGCAGACGCAACCCTTTTGAGAGGTATATTGAATGTGGTGTGCCGGGTGCAGTATTATTTTTTGGGATGCTCACCCATAAGAGAGATCCTGCTAAACCGGACCCTGATACGGCAGTTGATGTGAGCAAGTAACATTTACGTCAAACACTTCAGATCTTTTGGCCGATTTTCTCGATGAGAGAAATCAATAAACCTCAAATTTGATTAGATTTGTTTACTTATAAGCATGGACTTGACTACATTTGTGCAAATTGTCACTTTTATAGACCTTCTGAAACAATAATAGTCGTGATTTTATATATATAAAACTGTACTTGTGAATGTTAGCTGTTTTTTCCCACTCTCAATTCCCTTTCTCAAAATACCCAGAAACATTGGCAACATACAGGGTTTCGATTTTACTCCCAAATAGGACCTTAACAAAATATTATTTCTGGTTTTTGGATGAAAAAAATTGTCATATTAGGATTCCACTCCCTTGATAATTCCAATTGCAGTTTGTATTTATGTATGTTGAACGTCTTTCATACCGTACGTCACAGACCTAGATTTTAAAAAAAAGACAGATGAACATTTTTCCCCACTAGAATGATATTTGTTTAGGAACGTGCCAAATTAGTTTTCTAATCATAAGCAAATACTATTATAATTATCCGAGATATTTTTTTCAGTGGACAGATCATGGCTGACGGCCACTCTGCCATCCATGATCGCGCCGCATTATTACTGTTGTTGTATTTCTGCAACGTGTTGACATCACACATATCTTGATGTAAAGCTTTCGTCACTGCAGTGATTCATATTATTGGTTCTTTCGGTAAAGTCACGTTGAAGGGAAACAATAAAATAACAAAATAAATATAAAACAATAAAATTCTCACGACGTTTTGACTTCAACACAAACAGTTTTCACACCTGATGATGACTCTTTGTGTTGCAGTCGAAACGTCGTGAGAATTTCATTGTTTTATATATATTATTTTATTGTTTTCCTTCAACGTGACTTTACAGAAAGAACCAAGAATATGAATTACACTAATTATTTTGTCTATTTTCCGTTGTACCGCAGATTGCTATCTCTGTACAGCCTGACGGGTTCCCAAGGTCATCAGAGAAGTGAACCGAAACCGCGTCGTGAAGAGTGTTTCTGTGGCCCTAAGTCGTGACGCGTGTGTTGTTTCCATGACCTCGGCAGAAGGCGATGACAACGAGCAGCAACTGGCTTCACGGCACGAGCACACGGCAAGGGGTGAGATGCGTTGAATCTCATCCGGTAGATTCGATTAGTTGGAGGACATTTTCCTGACCACGATACGGTTTTAAAAATCAATGTTTCTTTTTTCATTGTTGTTATCGTCTCCGTCTCGTCTGCGTGGTTTCCCCCGTAGTTTTTTTTTGTTTGAACCCCTGGCTCACTTGTACAGTTTCTCTCGTTCTGAGGCTAAATATACGATTTTATGAATTCCTGGGTTTGTTCCCAACCAATACACCTAGCTGCACTGATAAGTATGGGTCAAACAGCGCCCAAGATCGACAGTGTGCGGACGCAATGCATCGATTCTAATACTAACACAGTGCGATTCTAATCCCGCACCTCCGATCAGCGCGTATGGTGCGAAAGAAGTTTAACATGCGTACGGTTGTTTATTATTATAAGTTACATTTGTATTACACTTTTTTGGACTATTTCTGAGTACTATACAGCATAATACTTTTACATTTTCAAAGTGCCACAGTACAGTGATACCTAAATACAGCCACCACGCTTGAATATCAAGAACGACGACTTCGTTTCCATATTCAATTAAATACCACAACAACAACGGCAACGTGTAATTCAAGTTTTCATTTATTGTATTGTTTCAATAACACTGGCAGTGACTCGCAGTTGGAGTGTCCACAGTGCAGCATTAGTGTATTCGTTACGTCGTCCACATCATGACAAGAAACTGGGAAATTTGAAGGCAGGCTTTATCGTCGTGTACGTAACGCGGCTTTCCGAAAGTTACGCGTATAAGGAGGATGCGCGGTGAGTGACTCATTCAGAAAGGCTACGCACACACGTACACACTTACACACACACCCTGATAGGGGGTGTCCCTATACCGCCGTATATAAACACACACACAGAGCGAGGGAGCTGTCCACGCCAAAAGACTTCATCGCATCTCCTCTTCCCTTGCCACTCAAGTAACGTAGACATTTCTGCCAAAGCGGGCGAACTATAATAGTAGCCACAACACCGGTTACGTATACACCCGTGCCGCTATACAACACGCGCACACACACTCACACACACTCACACACGCGCGCCACGGGCTGTACAGGTGAGCACAGGTGAACAACAAAGACGCGCACGCGCGTGCGCGCGCGCGCAGCCATGCAAGCCACCGGCAAGTACGTGGCGATGGACTGCGAGATGGTGGGAATCGGCCGCGGCGGCACGGAGAGCGCGTTGGCTCGCTGCAGCATCGTCGACTACAACAAGCGCGTCCTCTACGACGACTACGTGAAGCCCGAGCAGCCCGTCACCGACTACCGCACGCGCTTCAGCGGCATCCTTCCCCGTCACCTGGTGAACGCGACGCCGTACGAGGAGGCGCGGAAGGAGGTACGGAGGAAGTAGTAGACGAGGAGTAAAAGGGGGCCCCCACGATAAAAGAGCCGCGCGCGCAACGGGGAAGGGTGGGCCACCGAGTGTGTGGGACACTCGTTTGTCGAATAGCGCTCGCTGCTCCTTGATGAATTCGTCATCGTGATTATCGGTGTCGATGGAGCCACACCGTTGGATGAATTCCTGCTGCTGCTGCTGATGTTGTTGTTGTTGTCGTCGTCGTCCGTCGCGGGCTGGCGATGTACTGTATTGATAATAATCCGCCTACTAACTGCAGCATCATCACTATCAGTCATGATGAATCCACTGCTGGATGAAGGCTTCCCCCTGCCTGTAGTTGTCCTCTGTCATGGGCCAGCAATGTGATAATAATAATAATTCACGTTGCTTCTACATTTGAATTATCGCAGTCGGTCTTGATGAATCGACTGTTGGATGAATTATTCCCCAAGCTATTGTCATCTGTCACGGGCCTACCATGTAATTATAATCCACCTATCACCTGCATCATCACCATCACTATCAAATCAAACTGAAGACCTGGAAAGATTTCGCACCTGGCACGCAACATTTAATATAGCATACCTTTCGCTATGGGATCTGGATAATTGTCACCAGGCTAACCTAGTCTACCAGCGGCCCAGAAAATATTCAAGTGAAAAAATTAAGCCCTGGGTTGTATTACTTTTAACATGGTACAACACTGTGCAAAGAATGTTAGACTAACTTATCGTGTTTGTGTTGTTTCAATAATTGGTTGTTATGATACGTGCTGTGGTGCTGCCATGGTAATGTGGATTTTAACAGGCTCTGCGAAACGAGGTTGCATAACAGTCTTCATACGGACACAAATGGCATGAATTAAATGGAGTTTTCAGTTATTCATGTCACGGCAGCTTCTGTTTATTCAGGTGCAGTGTCTGAGCTGTTTCTGTGCGCATAAAATACGAACTTTAAGTTGTAATTTACCCCCATGGGGTTTTCATTGAAAGCGGTATCAATTAAGGCGTAAAAATCAATAAAACTGTTTGAATCAACCAGCTGCTGAGCGGAATCGGGTGACGTGGATACTTAGACAGGATATAATCTGTGTACTGAGGTAAGCAGACTTGAAGTTTATGGTAGATTGTAGCACAATGGAATATCAAGGGCACTTTTAATATCTAATTCCCTTGGGTTTCCCTAGAGTTGAACAGACGCCACCTTGTCATTGATCGAATCATGATGATGTTAGCAGTTGTTTTATTTGGGTTAGTTATTGCCCATTTTGCAAACTTCAAAAGGGCACTTCTTCATCAAGTGTGACAGCGTGAGCATCTAAATCCTCATCTGAGAAAATATTTGTTCGCTGGGGTATACAATCTTTTTTGTTTGCTGCAGGGATCTGCATATAATCCCTCCATTAGTTTTAGAATTACGTCTCCGGCATACGTTATGAATTGACCATTGCTCTGTAATAGATTCCTATTCGTGATTTACTAATCATCGTTATTACGTTGTGTTATTTATGGTCTTTTCTCATTCTTTGCCTAATTGTTTTTCAAAATTACGTCCAATGGTCTTTCTTACCGCCTTTCATTTGGCATGATCATACATTTTCATATTATTCGTTTTCTTCCACATGCTTTTAGTGTTCTAAAGTAATTAATGAATCCTCTTTTTAAAATTTCCCCCTAACTTCAGTGAGCTGTTCCATTGCAACGTAATTACCAAGCAGAGAAATAATTACCAAAGATTAGTAGGAACTAATAACACAAAGGCTCAAGCAAATATTTGTAAGCACAGCGTACACACGCTCTACGGCACAAGGTGCACCTGGAGCACAGCTAGTAAAGTGAATATTTACTCGAAACTCAAGATGACATATGCCTTTCTATGGCTTTGGCATTTCTCTATGAGCAACCGGTTTAAACTGGCGAGCGGTATCGCTTATGTGTGAGTGTTTATTGAGGCTGGTGTGTGCGTGCCCCAGTGTTTGTGGGTAGCGGAGGGTTCAACAGTCGGTGCGCTCCGCTACGAACCGAGTTCGATTCCATCTCACGGCCAACATTGGTGACGATGATCTCAACCAGTCCTGGGCCCTCCCCCCTAGGTCGACTCAACCTCAAATGAGCACCTGGTGCGGTGTGTAAACATCGTTACTCCGGAGACAAAAGTCGTTCGGGCATGGTGCTGGCCACCCACCCCCTCGTGTGCCGTTTCGGCCGTCATAGGTGCTACTCGCTAACAGCAATTGTATCCAACAGCCTGTCGAGGCTATACCGTGGGATATCTTTGCCTTTGTGAGGCAAGGCGAAGTAGTCAATTCATAATTCCTCGACCAGATGCCTCCCCCCAAGTTCCTCTGAATTGCTTCGAGTCAAAAGGTATTTTTGCTCATCAAATACTGATTACTGCCATTGTCGATCCACTGCTGGACGAGGGCCTCCGCATGACGTGTGGGTCGTGGGTTGGTGAAGGGCTGGGGGAGCGTAGACACGAAAGCATATGAGCAGAGTCCGTCGAGTAGAACAATCTTAATGCATTTGCGGCACTGTCCTCTGCTGCCCGCCACATAGCCCTGCAAGCCCATAAGAACCTGTTGCGTATGATGGTCACCCATTCAAGCAGTGTCCAGGCTCAACCCCGCTTAGCGTTTGAAATGACGAAATAATCTTAATTACTTATTGCTTTATTCCAGCAACATTTTTGTAATGACCGTTTTACTTTATTCAAAGGTTTATGTCGAAACTCTTTGTGCCTTTTACATGAATTGTAGTTTTAGAATCTCTCTCTCTTCTCTCTCTTCCAAGTATGGTGCTACTTTTTATATTTGGGGAAATCCCTTGCCCTTACTTTGATTTAATTGTGGTCTGCATGACGCCACACCATCCCTAATTTTAGTGACACTTTCATTTACATTAGTAGTGAATCACACTTTTAGGCTACAATTTTCAATTCCTAGCATATTAGGGTTAGCTATAGGGTGAAAGTTTCGTGTTATTCATTATTCATTGTGTTGAAAACAATGACATTGTGGTTGCAGAAGTATCTTAATTTTGATATTAACTTATATTGGCAGATTTTGTTTCATACATAGGGCCTTAGAATAACCATAAGGGTCTACAGCAATACAATATGATTTATATAGCATCTCAATGCAACTGCATCTTAAGATGCTGTACACAGCAGAAGGCATAATTTAGTATAGAGAGATGTATACCATTATTTTTAACTACCTGTACATAATTACATTTACTTGGATACATTATACAGACTAACAACACATATACCATTCGAGAATATTGACAAATTTGAACCCAAATGTTTATGAGACTTAATATAATACAATATTTAAATGTCTTTCAATTAATCCACCATGTATTTAATCAACAATGCTGATCATATGGCATTCTTTAATGCACGTACTCCCCTACCTACGAGCATTCGACTTACGAACTTTCAGAGATACGAACAAACCTGTCCGTATGTTCAGTTGCCTGCTCGGACCGAGAGTCATAAATTCAATAGATGGCGATGGTGTAATCTACATCTGCAGAACATGAAGAACCAGTGGCATCTGCATCTACAGGAGATTATACAACTTTTAGAGCCATTCCCTGTGTTTAGTGTACATGTCGTACAACATGTTTGGATTCAACAGGAGTAAAGTTGGACTTATAAACAAATAAACTTACGAACAGACCTGTGGAACCTAACTTGTTCGTAAGTATAGGAGTCCCTGGAGTCAAATGTTCCAGGCCATGGCAATTACTTATTACTGAGCTCGGTGTGAGGGCCCATTCCTGTGATCCGGAACATCCGAGGCAATTGTTGGTGGATTACACATATTTGTAAAATTCCCAAACATTCTGGGCTGCGAGGTGTCTTGAATTGATTTGTTTAGAGCTTTTAGTGTTATCCCCTCTTGTATGCGGGGGTTTCTCCATGTACTCTGGTTTCCCCCCACATGCCCAAACTCTCATTAATGGAGTTAGCCAAAATATCGCATCACAGCGCCCTTTTGAGAAATAAACTCAATGAGGCTTTTCTGAGTAAACGAAAGGCATTATTATCATACATTTAAAAAAATAGCAAAATTATAAACATTGAAGCATATAATTCAGAAAATGGTTGCCACTTGTTTGCATTGTGATACCCCGACATTATTTAGTTTAGTTTGTTTGTTGTTAATTGTTTGTTGTTGTAACGTTCTGACCTGCCCTTACTGGACATCTGTGAACAAGAGCTTTATAGCTCGTCGGATTCATCCAGTATAAATAAATATTCTGATTCTGATATACAGTAAAACCTTGGATTGCGAGCATAATTCGTGACAGAAGTGTTTTTGTATATCAAAGCACTCGTATATCAGTTGTGATCACGTGACGCTCGGCAGACAAAGCGTATACGTACTACTCGTATTGCAAGACCTCGCTCGTTTATCAAATTCATATTTGTTAAAAAATTTAGCTCGTCTTGCAAAACACTCGGAGACCAAGTTACTCGCAATCCAAGGTTTTACTGTACAAAGTGTCTTGTTAAAATGTCAAACAACGCCACGTAATTATTAAGAGACAGGGCTAAGTGCGTTCCTGGCTCATGTGTATGCACCACATGCCCCGCAGATCAAGAAAATCCTGGAGGGAAAAATAATCATCGGCCACGACATGCGGCGGGATTTCTCAACCCTGGGCCTGAACATCCATATGTTCGACACGCGTGACACGTCACTGTGCGAGCCGCTGCTGAAAAAGGCAAAGCTCACCGTTGGCAGGAGAGCGTCGCTCAAAAACCTAGCACAGATCCTGCTCTCAATCCAGATCCAGGTAAGGCTGCTTTGCTACGACGTAGGGTTTTCCACGGTTGATCGCTACCGCTATCTGAAGTGATTTGTTTTCCTTCCCCACCGGTTGTACCGCTAATTGTCCGGCGTCATGTCCGGCGTAGTCGTAAGCGCACTGGTGATCAGTTGCCTCCGTATTGCTCTTCTATTGCCACTGCCACGGTTTACTGTTCTCATTGACTTTGCTCATTAATTCCTCTGTCTATGTGGGGTGCTCTGTTTAGTAGACGGTCTTCTTTCCATTTCATTGACACTTATTAACCACCAGACTGATGGTCAAAGACACTTCCCTTTCTGATTCTTTCCTTGCTCTGCTCGACTCTGTAATGCCATTCCAGTGTCTATTTTCCCATGGCCTTAGTCATGACCTTGTCTATTAAACTCTCAAATGTGCTCTGTTTGTTGCTGGCCACTTGGCATTTTTTTTGTCCTTTGGGCCTGTGCTCGGCAACCGTGATGTAAAATAAATTAAAGTCCGGTTCCGTGAACGTGAGCGTTTTTTGCACATTGGGTAATGGTTTTCGGCTGAGTCAATCTCGGCGAGTATCCATTCCATGTCAAGATACAAATACCCCCTTCATGTGGCCGGAGAGGAACTGAGGTGTATTTACAAAGAAATACTAATGATAAGCTCACGTTATATTTAAACCGACAAAGTTGACAAAACAAACAAAAAACAGATCTAAAACAATGCAAATGAGATGGTACAAAACGAAATGAACAATTTTATTCTTGAATTTAATCGTTATCCGAAATAGTGATTATTTCTTTTAAGTTCCGCGAGTGGGTGGGGTGTGGGGGGCAGTGGATAAGTTGTCACGTGTCTGCTAGACACAGGCAGGTCTGTGCATGCTGTCTATGCAAACAGTCATATAGGCATGTGATTAAGAGTCAAAATACTGTAACTCAGGTTCTACCGTCATCTGTCTGCCCATTCCAAAGTATCCAGTTAAGGGATATGGGAGGTTTTTTTTCGTTATTAAAGGTTTCAAATGAAAAAAAAACAAAGCAATTGCAGGTAGAATTCATTTTATAATGAAATCACTATTCATAGTTTAATGTAAAAAAATGGATGGTAATTTATAGCATTTAAAAAATAAGGTGGTAAGTCCATGATTGGAGGAGTGCATCTCTTCAACAGCGTTTTGGCCATGTCTGCAAATGTCACACCGAGGTGTTGTGCTGCGTTGACTGTCGGTAGTTTTTGGAGTCTGTGTATATGTACTGTACAGGTAAAACCCGTTTTGTCAACCCACTGCTGGATGAGCACCTCCCCATTGCAGTGAATCGCTACGCCCCAGTGTCTATGCGCCCCCTGCCTTTACCAACCAGCCCATTCTAACATGGTGAGGCATGGTCAATCAGCAGTAGATTGACTAAAATCCTGCAAACGTAATAATTCTATCCATCTGTTTCATTCTCATCCCTATTCCCATCATCATCATCATCAGCCACGCTCAATCCACGGCTCGATGAAGGGCTGTCCAAGCTGCTGCCGCCACCGCCCATCCCTCCCTCGCGGTCTTTCTCATCCCTGTGCCGTGCTCCCTTCTACCGTTGCGCAACAGAACAGTTCAGATGGGCACTGTTCGGTGGAGGATGCCAAGGCAGTCATGGACCTCTTCAGGCTGGTGGACAAAGAGTGGGAGAGGGGCCCACACTCGTGGCCCGAGGCCCCACTCCCACGGCGTCACCAGAACCAACGATTCAACCGTTACTTAGACTTTGAGGACTGCAATAGCTACAATGACTGTCGTGATAGTGATGATTACGGTTATGATTGATGATCCGCTTAATTTAACAAGGTGCCGTTGCGCATAACAACGGTTTACATTTTGAAGCACGTTTTCAAATTTAGCAATTTTTTTTTAATCACACCTTGCTTTTAAAACTGTAGTCCTTAAGAGAAACCGATTTTGGTCATGTTGTAAATGTGTACAAATCTTGAACATATTTACTGGAATGTGCCAGATAATTAAATGTATAGTACTATATTTTTAAAGTGAATATTAAACGAGATCGAGCTATGTATATTTGTTTGTACACTGTTTTGTACACTCACACAATCAGTGGACAGGAGGTCGTGGTTTCGATCCTGACCCTGATGCCTGTATTTTTTTGAATTTTGCATGTTCTCCCCGTGGTCGTATAGATTGTTCTCCAGGTCCTTCCGTCCCCCCCCCCCACACATTTAGAAACATGTGTTTCGAGTATTTGGCTTATATAAATTTCCACATGAAAAGCCACTTCTCGTTGAGCTATCATTGGTGGCCACCATCACTTCTGAAAAAGATCAAAATAGCTCAGTGGGCCTTATCTGCTAAAATAAAAAAATATATATATAGTTTTATTTCAGTTTTGGAATCCTGCCCAAGGCAACATAAATGTGGGAGTGATATCGGAATGAGTCGGGGTCCTCCCCTTCAACCCGTACGAACCAGCGTGGTGAAGCACAGCAAAACAGCCCCTCCCATGATCGAATTGTGTGGAAAGGCCTTCAACCAGCAGTGTATGGACAAATGGCTTTTAAGACATTAATTATTTTTACGGAAAAAGCTGTCAAACAGAAAAATAAAAGCAACCCTCCGGGTGCTTTGCACATTCCGCACACCAGCTTCAAACAGCCACCAGCTCAAAAGAGACTTCGCCTATTTCTTCTGACTGATTAGTTCATCAGCAAGAACAAATACTGCAATTTCACATCACATTATTGTACTTGTTTCACCAAACGCTGTCCCAATTATTACCTGTTGCAAGGCACTCACTTTATGTTCCCAGCTGCTGTGGTAAGGTACACATGCTTTTTGCCTTTCATGGATTCTCAAAGGGCTGCATCACCTGCAGATAATCATCTGCCAAAATGTGCCCAAGAATGGAATCCGAATCGCTGGTGTCGGAGCTCGCCGTTGCCACGTGCTTGCACGCATATAGACCTGCATATATTACTGCGATGCCTACTTACAGTGTAGAACAAAATATATCTTGCCACTGAGGTATTGGGCCTGTAAATATGTTGACAGAAGCAAGAGCAACCGTGGCATGTGGAGAAGTCTTAATTATAACATTGTTGGAATAATTAGCAATCATGTCTACATAACTAGGTAATCCATAGAAAAATTTACCATCCTGAGTGAATTCACTGGATGAAAGTATCTCCGTGGTGTGGGGGTCATGGGGGTTTGACCATACTTGAGCATGCTAGCCAGCAAGGGTCGGCGAAGGGTGTGGGCCCAGGAATAATAGTTTTAATAAGTGGTGTGTAGCGGCCTCTAGCGGTTGTTAATATCACATTAACCAATAAAAGCATGATTCTTGGCCATAACTTTCGATTTTATCTATCGTGGACATTCCTATAAATGTTTATGAATCGTTACACCGCTGATAGCTATTACATTCATACATGCTTGGCTAGTTGGACAAATTAGTAATTTGCTAATTGCTAACATGTGCTTTCCTCAGTCAGCTAATTGATTAAAGAGTGGGATGTTGAAACTAAGAGGTTTAGTGTATGTTTTATAATTTCCCACAATAGATAAGGTCACTCGATCGTGCATACCACCCATGGTGTTCATACCTCTTGTATTAAATGTGAAAGCTTTCATCAGTTGATTCGATTTATCTCGTGCTAAATAAGGGTGGTTGGTATTCATGACAATGTTTTCATCACCGGTGTTTTTTTAAATAAAGCGCAAACAACAAACTGGAATATCATCTTGAAGTACATATGCAAATACAACAGGAGTCAGTAGTATAATTTGTAATTATTCAGTACCAAAGTGACGCTAAATTGGTGTATAACAATCCACAGCAAATGGTAAAAATGTGATCAATTGCAGAGATGCCTGATGCCATTGTAGAGGGACTGAACCCAAACGTGAGACTTTTGTCCAAAGTCCATGCTCTCGTAAAAGCATTTTCTATGTATCTGGTCAGGTGACACATTGTCACGTTGAGCTCATCTTTATTGACAGCACTATCACTGTTGCTGATGCAAATTTACGTACACTAAACAAAAAAAACTACGTGGGCCATGGATGGGCCAGAGTTGAAATCTATTTTGACTGAGGCGGAAAAAATATTTGTTGTACCAATTCGGTTAAAGTCCTGCCCAAGCCATCACCATACCCTTCATGGGCCCTACAATGTAACAAGCCACCTTGCACCTGCACACAATCGGATTCAATTGCTCAGTTTCTTCTGTGAATGTGGCTGCTGAATACATTGCTCATGATTATTGATATTCTTCATCACCGGCTGTCGTCCCTTCGAGTGATGTGTCCCGCGAATGCCCACCTATGATTGTTGTCATTAACCTGAATATCTTGTAAACTCCCATGTGTTCCGCTGTCTCAACAATGTGGTTCAAATTCTTGGTTCTTTCGGTAAAGTCACGTAGAAGGGAAACAATCAAATAATAAAAATATAAAACAATAAAATTCTCACGACGTTTCGACTGCAACAATAGCAATCATCTGGTGTGGAAACCACAGCAATAATTTTTTATTGTTTGATATTTTATTATTTTATTGTTTCCCTTCTACGTGACTTTACCGAAAGAACCAAGAATATGAATCCCTGCAGTCACGAAAGCTTTAAATCAAAATTTAAATAAAAATGTGGTTCAAATCAAGCTTCTGCGACTGTCGGATATTTAATTCGCACCAAGTGAGTGGTACAAATTACATCTGCTCTGTGCTGTATGTAGAGCAAGGAGCCGTCCATAAATGACGTCACGCACCGAGGGGGGGGGGGCAGACATTTGTGACGATGTGTGACGAGGGGGGGGGTTTGAGAAATGTGACGTCACATCAAAATGCGCAACTTTAAATTAATATAGACAACACGTTCTAGTTAATTAAATATACCTTTTAATAAATGTTTTCTCCCACAACATCAGAGTGCAGCGCCACATTAAATACGCACTACAATGACAATAGTTTAAAGCGATTTGAAGCATGTTTTATATATTTTTTTTGGGGGGGGGGCAGAGCTTTGTGACGTCATATTTGAGGGGGGGGGGTCTGACTTTCTGTGACGCCGTGTGACGATGGGGGGGGGGGGGGGTCAAAAATCATTCAAAACCGCGTGACGTCATTTATGGACGGCCCCTAAATTCAGAGGGACTGTTGGTCACAGATTGTGCGTGCTGAACGGTTACCAATTACGAAATTGGATTCGCCTTTTGTACTGCTGCATGAGTGACCAAGCCGTTTCGAGACTGTCCTTTGGACGGGGTGAATTTGACACTTGATGGTAGAAAAACACCGCACAGCGTGAGGGAGGGACCTTGAAACCCAATTAAGCTTCGCCCATGCACTAGCAGGTCCCTTTCTTTGTACATTAGCTGCGATATCACTTTTGCCCGCCAGGTGGCGCCACCGCTCATGGCAATTCGGTTTGGCGAAATGTTTTGTTGCCAGTTTTTTTTCCCCCTCACAAGACTCGTCCTCAATAATATATATGTTCCCTGGTTACTACCTGCAACGCTGGGCATTTATAAGGGAAACAATGTCGCCCTCGTTATTATTGCCGGTTTGTAACCATAATATACGCGTCGTCTTCACAGTACATGTTACATTTCCTTCCTGTGACTTGTCATTCGAAACCAGTAGGTCGTTGTTGTGCCGGTATTACGGTCAAAATTGGGCAAATCCGAAAAATGACCCGCAAATTCCTCAACTGGGATATCAGCAGCATCGCCCCCCACTGTGAAACTCCCGTAGACTATGTCTGTGAAATATACCACCTTCCTTCGTGATAGCCTTATTGCCGTAAGGATGTCCTTAATGCCAACTCTACTCAAACTATATCCCGGTGATCACAGTTTAGAGATGGGCAGTATCTAAATTACATGTGCATGAAATACGTGATTTCATTACAATGGCAATTGGCATAGAAATAACGCAGTTCAAAGTAATTTATGTGTACTTCAATTAAACGAGGCGTGGTGAATCGATTATTTCAAGATATTTTGCCCATCTAGAAAAAAAATGTTGTGCATCTCTTACGAGGCGTTTAAAAGGCCTTCAGAATTGGAAACAAACACCCCTCGGTGCTGACCTACAATGAAATGTTTATACATGTGTTCACTTGCATGCAATATATTCACCTCAGGGATGGCATCAGGAAATTCCTCTTGTCAAATCTTCCCATATTTGTGGTTTATTTTGTGGATAGTTTAGACATGCCCATCAAAGTTTATAAGTCGTGAAAAAAATACCATCAGTGCGCAGTGACAGGCAAAACTATACATTGTCAATTCTCTAAGTGGACACATGGGGGGCGGGGGGGAATCGATAATTACATGTTACGCACACGTTCACACGTAAAGACACTTATTTAATGAAAGTTTTTATTAATAAAGTTAAATTGCCAACAGGCTATTTCTGATTATATTGTACAGTAATGTGAATGATAGTAATGGTAATACAGTGCCGTATACGAATTCTGACTTCAAACATTACACTTTGACATACTGTGAGAGAGAATTGGAAGGCGTGTGTGTGCACAAATGTAATAAATAAAAGCTACTAAAATAAGCCAAAGTGGCCTGTGAATGTAAAACAAAGTCTAAAATAGCATGCTCATAAGTTAATAAAACAGAAGCGAGTAATTTCGCCCCAGTAATTGACACTTTATGGTACAGTGCTCCTTTGCGAGTCTCACTTGTAAAAGTCTTTTCCTCAATGGGCTCACACATACAGGCCATTGTTGTTAGTCTACTGCTGGAACAATGCAACTCCACACCATGAGGGCTACTTGACCATACATCATCACACTGATCAGTGCATTTTAGTGGTGGGAGTGTGCATAATTATGGTTATTTATGGACTGCCCCTCTGCACCTATTACACCTGGTTTGTACATTACAAGCAATATCCAGGTTCAAAACCTGCTTGGCTTACCAGTTCTGACAATATTGGGCGCAATTCGGGTGATGTGGTCGTGGGGCTTTCTCCTGCTCATAATTTAAGTGACATACTTATATTGTATCCTTACGTTTGTGTAAAATAGCTGGGTTCGTGGCCTTCAACAAGAAAGTGACGAAAAGGAAATGCAATTCCATAAATTGCATGCGAATTGTCATGACGTTTTAGCCACACCTGCCACAAGCCTTTTGCAAAACCCCGCGAAGCAGGCACACACATAGGTTCATCATTCTCTTATCATCCAGGTTATATATACAGGCGCAATCATTACCTCTTCCCGCGTCCACTATTTACCCTCGACCGTCAACACACTCCCCACATCTACTACATTCAACCATGCAGCAAAACCAATTCTTAACACTTTGTCAATTGTGAGAGTTTTATCGGGCAGAAAAGTACGCCCAGGCAGCAAACAAAATGAGAGCCAGAATAATTTGCATGAACCTACATTTCTATAAAGTGAACGGTGCTACTGTGACCGTAGGCTATTTTCTACCAGAATGCCTCGTATGTCAAATGACACCACCATACTGCGTGTGTAACGCACAACATGCTTACTTTAGACCAAAATAAAATAGACAAAGGGCAATTTTGGATCTCTTTGTCTGGCACAAGGCTATTGTGCATTATACACGAAGTATGGTGATGTCATATAACAAGTATCACAATAACTCTTTCACACTGTCCACGTGGATCGGGTTGCGTTAATGAATGCAGCAGTTGACAACTATTTAGTAATTGCAGCATGTGCGCATACAAACACACAAATAAAAAAAACAAAGATACAAAAAACCCGAATGAATGTATGCTGAACTTCTTTCGCACCCTACGTCGCCAACCGCGCTAATCGGAGGTGCGGAAGGTTGGCAATTGGATTCGGGCTTTCGCCAAGTTTCGCTTACACATTGATTGGTCATGTTATTTACACGCCAGCCATGACGATCGAAACTAAAGACAGAATGACGACATAAAACAAGGCCAGACTATATACACTCTGTTTTGAATGGGGTGTTTTCAACCAAATCTTACGAAAGAGTCAAACGGTCGGAGTCAAGCCTACAAATGGAACTGGTCGAGTTTGCATGAACGAATGTGACGGCACAGAGCGTTCGGCAATAAACTAGCAGCCTATAGGAACCACGTGCGGGTCGCGGCATGCCCGTCGTCTGCATAATGTATACATTGTTACCGGACGTGTCGCACCACATCATCAATGTTGTATACAACGTGCATGTGCATCCCTTTGTCCATCCACTCACTGATGGATAAGGGCCTTGCCATGCCGTGCGGTTCTGGGGTGGGGGGTGGGGGGTTATTTGACCATGCTTCACGCTAGCGCGCGCATCCGCGTAAAAGCGAAGTGTTGTTGCGCCGTTACAGCTGCGTTATAAACACGACATTTGTGTCGATTGCCTTTTACGTGCATACAAACAAAAAACCTCGAACAATATTCACTTCCAACGGTTATTGCCTTCTACTTTCACAATAGTTTTGGCCAAACATGTTCGCCGCGATAAGGCAATTACTTGCCGGGATTGTCGCGCGTTTATGTGACATTAACCCCCCCCCCCCCAAGGTCACGCCATGTCTTGTTGTATACAACCGAGGTAAACGAATGACAATTTTAACTCGAGTACAACACATATAGGCAAGACAAGATCGGCCTCCGGTTAAAACGTTGGGCTAATGGACCCCAAACTAGCACATTTCATTAATTGTAAATTCGCTCTTTTTTAAAATTTGTTGTGCAATGGTTAGCACACGTGACCTGCGATCCCATGGGTTCGCAGGTTCGAATCGATCTCCCCAGTGTGGCAGTGGAAAGCAATGGGCACGCACGTTTCTTAAAAGGGGCCGTCCATAAATGACGTCACGCGATTTGGACGATTTTTGACCCTCCCCAACTCGTCAGACGGCGTCACAAAAAGTCAGAGACCCCCCTCCCTCAAATATGACGTCACAAAGCTCTGCGCCCCCCCCCCTCCCAAGCCATATTTCCATTTTGAAAATAAAACATGCTTCAAATCGCTTTAAACTATTGTCATTGTAGTGTGTATTTAATGTGGCGCTGCACTCTGATGTTGTAGGAGTGTTGTTATAACAATTAGTGTTATAACAATTCTATATTTATTTAAAGTTGCGCATTTTGATGTGACGTCACATTTCTCAACCCCCCTCCCCCCCGCGTCACACATCGTCACAAATGTCTAACCCCCACCTCCCCCCTAGGTGCGTGACGTCATTTATGGACGGCCCCAAACGCGCACCCTCCACTCCAGGGGCCACGCGCGTGCTGGGAGTACGGTGTGGGGGTAATGGAAGAGTAGACCAACAACAACACCCTCGAGTGGACACCGATTCCGTCCGGCAGTGGGCGAGGGAAAGACATTGAGGGGTGCTCCACGGTGGCGAGATGTGAATTGCCTCGCCCGGTATACAGGGGATCGTGGGTTCGATACCGATCCCAGACGCCTGTACATTTGGAGCTTGCATGTCTCTCTCGCCGTGGTCGCGTGGATTTTTCTCCCGGTCCACCGGTCTATTTTTTTTTTCACCCTCCACATTTTAGAGACACGCGTTTCGAGTATTTGGCCGCTATTAATGTCCACATGATAAGCCACATCGTTGAGCCATCATTCGCGGCCACGTCGCTTCTGGAAAATAGCTATATAGCTCAGTGGGCCTCACCTGCTAAAATAAAAACAATTGATTATAGTTTTAGTTCATTATGAGGGCACCACATTCCACCTTTAGACGCATTTGACCTCTTTAAACAAAGCGCGTGCGTGTAATTTTAGCCACACAACCAGACTGCTTATTGTAAAGCAATAATCGCCTCCTTCAAATGCCCGTTGTCATTCGCTCACGTTTGCTTTTCGTTCGCTCTCGAGTACTCTGTGCTATCTTACCGAATTGTGACTTATGTACAAAAACACACTCCACATCTCGTCGTCATCTGTGTATCGTTCCAATGTTACGGCAGCACACGCTTGTGTACTGTATAGTCCCGTAGCCAGGAGAGAGGGGGGGGAATTACATCAACTCGTGCGCAGGTGTCAAGGTGGAGTGCTGACATCGCAGGAACGTCCTAGATGGGGGGGGTCGCCTTGGGGAGCCCTTTATCCAGCAGTGGACTGATCGTGGCTGATGATGACGCCGTCATCTTGTCCGTTGCATGGAGGGGGGGGGGGGTGAAAGAAAACGATGCTGCCCTCTGCTGGCGTCGAGAGGCCGATCCCCGTAGTTCATTCTTCACGCGTGTCAGCCACAACCACCCGCCTTCGCTGACCTCCCACCCACGACGTTTCGCGCAGCAAAGCCATGGCTCCGGCAAGATCGGCCCATCTCTCGACGGTCCATGCCATCTGTAAGCGTAACGGATGCCCTCCGTATGCTTCGTCTTGGCGTCTCCTATCCAATCTACAAAGTCTCCTGCCAATATTCTGCACAGGCCACCGCTTCTGGCGTTGCCGAATCTTGACGAGCGCATTGTGAAAGCTGCCGGGCATCTCAGGAGATGATCTCGTGGTTTGTTTCTCCTGACAAGCACGTTGTTCGGTTGCGCAGAAGCCCCGTGATTTCATGAGAGAAGTTGCATCTGCCGAAACCCACTCTCAGCCTGTTTAGGCCCCTTACGCTGACACGCGTGCGTTTGTATGCATTTATGTTGAACTTGAACTTCTTTCGCACCGTACGTAGGCAACCGTGCCAATCGGGGGTGTCGCGAATAAGCCAGACCCCCTTTGTGTTCCTCGACTGCATCGGGAGAAAACACCGAGTAAGCGGTATTGAACTTGGGAAATTTTAACTTTGGGCCCACGTGTGTAGGTCCACGCGTCGATAACTTACTTTAGACCAGTGCATACAATAGATTAGTCCTGTGCTGTGCACAAATATGCAGTACTCTAAAGTTTTGCTCAGGGATTCATTTCTCGTTAACATTCGCTGGGTGACTATTACGCTTGTGTATCGCAGGCACCCGACATGAGGCCACGACCATAGCGATTGGTATAGAGTTTCAAGGTATTGGGTGCGCAGTGTGTAGGGAATATTATTTCCCTGGTCGCAGACCCTGGATGAAGTGAGGCCCTTACAGGTGAAGGCGGGGAGCCAAAGCACCGTGCCCAATTGAAGTACCGTACAACAATGGATTGGGCCGCACTGTCCTCTGCTGCCCATCCCCTAATGGCCACAGTACAGTAGAATAATCTATAGACGGTGACACCATCCAAGACACCATCCAGGGCTCAACCCTGCTGGAAATCTGATGCGATAGGGCCCAATCTATGTACTTCGGCCGTAGGCGGTACAATGTACAGCTTACGGATAGCAAAGCTGAGTTTGGATTGCAGTTTCTGTAGGTGGCGCTTCAAGTGGAACTATCGTGAATGTTGACGTTTGGGCACGGATCCTTCATTTCCCCTGTCCTGTGTTTCAGCACTTGTTCAGCCATTTCCACGCGTGCCCATTTACGGTGACACATTGCTTGCGTGTCAGAGGTTATGGATTGAATCATATTCCTCAGCTTCCAGCATAACGATGCGAGGGCTCTTCGTTCTTCTTTTAAATCTCCTAGTAATTGAAAAAAAAAACGAATTGGTTATTGTGGGACATTATCCAGTGTGGGATGAGTCATGGATAGGAGGATTGTGTTGTGAGTGCACGAGAATGTCTATTGTTACAAACTACAATGGCACCATTCATTCCAAGAGTTCCCAAAGTTTCCCAACTCACGACCCACCTGGGTAGTCAGATACATTTCTTGGACCCATGCCCAGTGCGACAGTGTGAGTAAAAACATTGGCGGCCTGGTGATTACTATTGGAGAGGAGGCAGATGTACAAACCCCTGTCAAGAAATCTTACACATTGTGGAAGTCATGTTAGCTACAAAGGTGAATATCAGAGAAGCCATGGAGATGTTACAGTGCAGCTCACTAGGTGATGGTTTTACAATGATGGTGTTATTACACTGCGTGATGCTATTATTTTAATTATTTAAACTAGTTTTTATTTGACCAGGTAAGGCCCACTCAGCTATAGCTCAACGAATTGGTTTATCATGTGGAAATTTATAGCAGTCAAATACTCTAAATGCACGTTTCTATATGTCGAGGGAAAACCTGAGGAAAATGCACGCAGGCACGGGAAGAACACGCAAACTCCCAATATACAGCAAGCATCAGGGTCTGGATCGACCCCACGGCCTCCTGTATACCAGGCGAGGTAGTTAGCATCTCGCCACCGTGGCGTGTCCTAATATAGTGTAACTCACACACAGAGACAGACATGGATAAACTCGCACATATACAAACAGATACTGCGACAAATACACAGACAGAAACACACGGAGAAAAAGACACGCAGAGACGCAAATGCACTTGCGAGACACGGAGGTACCGAGATACGAAGATACACACAGACATGGAGACACTCTCGTAGCCATGAGCATAACTGCCACGCACGAGCGAGGTGACGTTCATTGAGAACAAGTGGGAGCTCTCTTTGTTTTTTTTCCTAGATAAAATATATATATAGGATCGTTATTTTTAGCATAATAAGGGGGCCATCCATTCAGTACGTACGGATGGAGGGGGGAGAGGGGGCTAACCCAAATGCGTACACTTGTGTATGGGGGGTCTACTGACAATGTACGTATGCATAGAAAACGGGGGGGGGGGGTGAAGCCTCGATAATAATAATGCAGCCAGCGGTGGACTATCGGTTTGCTTTAACACGTTAATATTATTCATCCTTGATCGTTTCTGCGTGGATTACATATCGGCCGTTCTATAGGATTCATGGGAGGGAAGGAGGTGCCTCAAGCGAACGTACGCAGATGGGGGGGTGTAAAAAGTCCGCGTGCGTACAGGGAGGGGGGGAGGGGTCAAGTTTTGACAGATTTTTGCGTACCTACTAAATGGATGGCCCTTTACGGGCTGCGACCCACCCTGATACCTCTTGCGACCCGCCGGTGGGCCGTGACCCATTGTTTGAGAACCGCTACAATATTCAACACTTCAAATCTATGGGGCGGTTGGGGGGGGGGGGATATGGGCGTCCCCTCGTACCACACAGAGTAAGAAGATGGGCTCGTACCTGTAGATGCACCAGGTAACGGCACCGAGGGCAAGCAGGGTGAGAAGCAACGCCAACGTTAGCGCAAACGCAATCCCTGCTCTTGCAGAGCTTTCCTCCTTGATGGAGTCCAGTGCCACCATCTGGCATCGGTCTCCTTCATAGCCTTCAACGCACCTGTGTCAAGAGATACGAGTAAGGCAGTGTGTATGTCATAAATTATTGAATGCACAGGAGCTCATCCCAAGATCAGCAGATTGAGCTCGTTGTCCACAGCCACGTTGCCTGCTATTCCAGCTTCACGTGGCCTATTATAAAAGTGCGTAATGAACTGTAACCCGACCAAACAGCGGACCGAAAGTTCCAGCGTGGTTTTGGTACCAATTGAATTGCCAGTATTTGTAGGTCCGTGTCGATCACAGACAGAGTGATGCTGGCTGTTTGGGAAGCTACCTCGAATGGCAATGGGAGGCTGTCCCATACCCAGCGATATGAAGGAGCAGTCCGGAGTGTAGCACTTTTTCCATCGGGCTGACCTAAACTTTTTTAAAATTCGTATCCCCACGAAGTGTGGTGGCAGTTGAAACCACCTGCGTGGATTGTAGGGTTGCTTTTTTGGTGGTCGCGCTGACGAAGGCCATTATGCGGATGATGGCTTTTTTGCACGCTTAACAGAGTAGGTTCGCTAATGAGGATGGCGATGGTGAATGAATGGCATGCCTCATCTCATGTTTGACCAAGGTGACCAGTCCGCGTTTCCGCTGATGACTGCTGTCACGTGGCAGTATCCTTCGAACTGTAGCCTTCACACTCACCAAGTGAGTTTCGTCGCGATCTTGGTGAGATAGCCGCCTTTGGCACTCTATAATCCTTCCACGTTGAGCTGCATGATTCGCAGTTATGGACCAAAAGGTTGGTTTGTCCCCGAGGAGGACTTTTTGCATTGTTGCCATTGCCTTTTTGACTGACAGGTTGTTTTAAGATGTTCGGTCGATGTTGTCGGTGCACTTGCACGTTGATGCATGCTCACCAGAGAGACAAATACGGGCTAACAAATTGCCGGCTTCAACACTTCATTGTGTTGTGTACTGTGATGACCTTAACAGATGCTTGCTAACATGACCTTAACAGATGCTTGCTAACAATGCATGACTCAACAGGGCATCGTTCTTATCTGGGTTATTAAAGGAATCTTTGTGTGTGCGTGTGTGAAGTAGGTGGCACTGTGACTCACGTACTGTTCTAAGAACCTTTCAATTTGGGTTTGATTCCTGGCCGTGGAAAACAGCAGGGGCAAGTGGTATTTGTACGTTTGCCAAACGAATACATTGTAAGGTCGCACTCATTACACACAAAGTGCTTGCCACAGATGTACCACAATACCTTGCTCGTCAAGGAGCATAAAGCATCACGCGAACTCTGGTCATCCTCGTAGCACCTTCTGGCTGGAACATCGAACAAAGGGTCTCTGCATCGCGCTATTCAGATGCGCTTCTGTGGCTGTCTGCAACGCTATTCCTTCCAAATATTAGTAAATCACTGGAGCTGTGCACTTTTAAATCTAGATTGAAAACTAATTTCTTCTGCTTTTTGTGTTTAGTCAGTCATCCTTCCCCTGCACCTCCGATTAGCACAGTTGGCTACGGAGGTGCGGGAAACTGCACTGCGTCACCCCTAATTCGGCTGAGCTTTAAATGAGTACCTGGTTGTGGCGTGAGAGTATTAGCAGTGGGGAGACAAAGGCAGGTACTGTAGGTGTGGCACTGCACCACAGCACCCACTCGTGTGTCACGCCAGCCTTAATTGGTGCTTTGTAAGAGCACTTGGCTAATCCGGGGATCTTTGTGAATGTGTGTGTGTGTTTCACTTACGTGCATTTTATCAATGTCGCCGACAGATAGGAGCATTCCCCATGTATGCAGTAATACGAACACCGGTCTATGTCGTCTGAAAATGGTAAATGAACAAAATGTAATTAAAAGTTGTTTATGACACAATGTGCGTGAATTCAGAAATACATTTTTATGTAATTGTTTTTTTAACGTAGGCTGTACTTTACTTACATGCCATGTCTCCGATGCAGCAGGATGTATAGTCCTTATTGAGGTTTTGAGATGCACACCACTGAAAAACAGTACGTATAATATTAAAATACCTGTTTCATAATTTACGGGCAGCAGAGGCCAGTGCAGCAAAATTATCTTGTTCTGAACTTCACTTCCACATCTGTGCTCCACTCCTTCACAAACTCACACTGACCAGCTGCAGGTATGGTGAAACAATCCCCTTGGCCTGCATGGTATGGGGAGGTCTTCATTTAGCAGTGGATTGACAAAGGGCTGTAAAATGCAAACTTTTATAACCCTTTCCATTCCGATGACGTACATGAACGGAATCGTAAAAAAAAAGTAAAATAAAATAACTTTATGGGTACCGAGGCTCCCACAAGGCCATGCGTTAGGGCATGTGGCACAGTTTGGCGCCAGCTATCATAGAGTGCGGTCTTGTCACTACAGTTCTCTGCGGTGATGACAATGTTTTTTAAAAACAACGGCGCTATGCCCCTCTAAATAAAATGAACACTAACCGCTTGCACGTTCCGAGATTCACAGGTGAATGGGACCCACCCTGCAACTTGCAGACGTCTCGGAGCGGGAAAGGGTTAAACGTCTGTTATATTTAAGCCTTGGATATTCAAGTACAATACTAAATATCGAGGTGGCTGGATGGCTCAGGGCTGGGGGCTTAAATCCTCATAGAAGCACCTGAGATAAGGCAGGTATGTAAGAGGTGGTGTCCTTACTGCTGTCACCAATGAGTTTACACACACACCCCATTTAAAGTTTAATTATTAACGTAGTAGGAATATGAAAGACACAGGAAGTCCTTATCTCTAATGTAAGATGCTCATCGTTTTTTTGAACATCAAATGATGAGATTACCGGATGAAGGTGTTCCAGTAGCATTTTTGTGTAAAAGGGAAACTTGGGCTTATTTTAACTTTCATGGTCTCACCAGCACAGTCAGGCCTGATACACAATTTCATCTGGATTGCCAAAAAACCATTGTGATCATTGATTTAAAAAAAATATAAATCTTGCATTGAGTGTTGATTGAATCTATCTGTGTGGAGTTGAGTGTTGTCTCTCTTGTACTTGTGAATCTTCTCCAAGTACCTCTATTTATTCCTGCACATGCCAAACACTCGTGTATGGAATTTGACAAACATCCCAATGTAGGACCATCATGAAAGAGACCTAGAACTCAAGGAGGATTTCCTTGGGTAACTAAAGGCCATTATTATTATTACTACGTGATTTAATTACATAAAACCTTATTTGGTCACAGTGCTAAAAGGTTCAATAGGCCCATTGTCACATGGAAATCCTTTAAACATTACTACAGTTGCTGTCTGGTTTCTGCGTAAATTACAATGACTGCATCGACACCAAAAGCGTGGAGCGATAACACAGTGGTACGTGCACTGGACTATCAACCCGGTGACCCAAATTTTGTTTCCCGGCCAAAGCTAACACTGATGAGTGACATGATAACCAGTCCTCTTCACCTACGTAAGCTGTCCAAGCCTGGCAAAGTCTGGTAAACACAACTACCACCATTGAAAATGGACGTGGAGACCTTCACCCAGCAGTAAGTTGTCAAAGGGTTGTAATTGATTCTTTTTGAAAACTCCACAATTACGGTAGTTCCATTTTATTGATTATAATTGTGTGGGAGTGCTACCTGGATAGGATGTCACATTGCTGCCGGTAAGGGGCTCTCAGATGTATGACTGTCACGTGGTTTATTGCAAGAGGACAATTTGGGTATTGTAAGCGCTTTAAAAAAAATAAACCACAAAGGGAAATCCAATACACTTTGCATAATTGTGACGAAACGGAAACGTTACACAACCTGAACGCAGCAAGATAATGTTGTCATATGCCTAAACTCATAAACCTGACCGCGTGTTCGTTAAAACATACAAGAACTTACCTTAGAGTTCTAACAAAAGTAACACTTTCTTCATCAGATAATCTTTTCGACAGCTTCTTCTTGTGACTGAACTAAACGTCAATTGCATATTCATGATAATGTAAATATAACGTGTGCAAACGTAAAGATTGTGGTGAAAAAAGCAGAGGCAAACGTTTCATGTGATCTCAGGTACAAGGTTTCCAATTCACGTTTTATTTCGAATAAGCACCAATGCCATTTGGAATATTGATAGTATGGACAAAAAGTATAAGTCCATCCAAAAAAGACACAACCTACTCACGACCAGGATAAACGCGTTTACTCAACTTATTTTCAAACACCTTGTTTTGTTTAATCTAATTTAATACTATTGCTAAATACTGGAAACCCAGTGTAGAGTAATCATTGAATGAGCAATAGTAATTATTGTTATCCTGGTGAGAATTCAAGAGACCAGGGCAGTGTCACTTGCAAGAGTGACACTGGTTCATCAAACGAACAAAAGCAAAATGAAACAACTGTGCCAGATGAGAAATGGAAAAGATTGCAAGAATATAAATCGATGTTAAATCATATAGCAATGTTAAAGAATAAATTCCCCTGGAGTGTAAGGCAGCTTAGGAAGATTATATTAACAATACTCAAAGTACCATAAAAGCATTATAAAGCTACAGACACATTAAACAGATATATAGATGCAGGATGACTATTTCATTCATACTTAAACTGGCACACAATGTCCAGGTAGTGTAAATGCATCTTCCGATGTTTCATATGCATTTAGGACAGTGGTTCTTAACCTTCACTGCAGCCTTGCACCCATTTGGTTCTCATTCGTTAAAAAATATATTTGTTAACACGTAGGGGTCTGATGAAACAAAGTAGCTGTACTTACGAGCCCGTGCTTAATTTGTGTTTCGATTATTTACCTTCTAAAAAACATCTGGCCATGCCTCGCACCCCCAGAAAGGGCATCTCACACGCCCAGGGGGGTGCGTGCACCCCAGCTTAAGAATCACTGATTTAGGGTCTGATACACACATTGGTGAATGGCCCTTTCCCCACATTTTTGTTGGAAACATGCCCACTTCCTCCATTAATAATAGTGAAGAAATTGCCAACGGAATGCTTTTCAGGAGTTCGGTTGGTCCGCTTGTGTATCCCGTGTACGGACGACATACCATGGCTGAGGACACACATCAGGAGGGGGGGCAAGCTGTCCTCAGTCAAGGCTCTTGAAGCCACTTGTGTTGTGGCCGAAACGTCGTGATTTTTTGTTATTTTATTTTTACCTACGTGACTTTACCGAATAGAACCAAAGAGTATGGATCCTTGCAGTCACGAAAGCTTCAAATCTAGAATATGCAGTGCAGTCTAAGACTAACGACCTAAATGATACACGTTAGCAGAAATATCCTCTTCTGTTCAAATAACGACGGAATCTGTTTTTTCTACAAATATTATGAATCGGGAACTCACCGTTAAGCTAGAAACCACTAACGGCAACAGCAACACCATATGTACACGCGCACATAACATGGGTCGTCATTACGGCAACAACAACAACAAAAAAACACACAAATTCTTGTCAAAGTGGCATTCTCCACACTATACACCGACCAGTCGCATACGTTGACTCTACTCACCCGTCGAACTTTGGAATGCACTAAAGTGCTGTTCAGTGCTGGCGTCCAGGGTAAGCCCAAGTCCGGCTGGTCCCTGCACGAGACGCAGAATCCAACCTTTGAAGCCAGCCGCTACGAGCAAACGACGACACGGGCACGCTGATCCAACCAGCGAACCTCCGCTTTGTCGTTTAATGAACAACCGTGGCTCATTGTCGACCAACCCCAGGCTAAACTCTCCACTGTATGCGGATTGTAAGAGGAGATAAGGGCTGAAAGAATGACTGTACAAAGGACCTTTCTGAACAGGTTTAGACGGAGCGGAGGTGTAGCCCCGACACTGCCAATTGTTAAAGCGCGCCCGCTCCCACTGCCGTTGTCGAATGCAAAGAAGCCACCATACGAATCGAAACAACAGTTGGCGCAGTGGGGTTCTTTTACCAGCTTGTAAAACTCAAACTCACTGTCGTCACGGAATGTGATGACCGCAATAAATACCTGCCTTCGGTGAGAGGGGCACACACACACACACGCCCAACTAGTTCACCGAGAGATGTGAAATCAGAAACGCCCGCAACGCGCACCTTTCTCCCTTTGCAGACCAAAAGCATGGGTGTGTGGGGTCGAGGGGTATTTACAAGAAGGCTCCAGCAAGAGAGTTGTATGGTCAAACAAGCCTCAACAGCATGACCCGGCACAGAGTGGGGAAGAACCCTTCATTCACAGAAGTTTATTTACTAAAAGGATGTGCCTTATTGTTACTTGTTATATTGTAAATGTAATTTCAATGTGTCATTTAAACAGACGAGAGCCCATTGAGATTCTTCGCGTGACCTAGTTATATAAAGATGGTTATTATTTTTAAAGAATATATATAATTGTTGTGAGTAATTAGTAAATTTGTATTACGGTATTACATAGCAATGACGTTCTCATGCACTGCCCTACTTTTACAGATAGAGTAATGTTGCAGGGTATTCAACATCGGCATTCTCGCGGTGTATGGGAAATTAACTCTTGAACGCAAATTTGCGAAATTTCGAAAATGCTGACATCACCGTTTAACAATGTTGGATGAAACTGTATCAATTTTTTTTTAAACCTACAAGCTAATGCAAATTTACCTTAAGCTGGGAGTTGCTAAATTACACAACTTTATGAAACTTCCACCAATTTTGCTTGCTTCGAGTCTGCCAGTAAAGTGCTGATATATAAAGCGGGTTGACTTGCAAAATGTTGCATCCAACAGTTAATACATGTTTATACTGGTAGGAACGAAGTTGTAAACTGAGTGTACCAGCCTGCAATAGATTAATGTGTTCGTCCGTTCGTCCCCTTTCAATACTTTATCGAAGTGAAATCTCGTGCTGTTGGGTGTAAAATCAGCAATAGACAGCGCAGAGACTTGTCCTACCAGCCCACCCTGCAGAGACCTGTTCCCACTGCTCAGTTAATTGGGTCGCTGGTCCTGTAAAACTGAATACATCTACCCATGGATGACACTGATGGAAGGGTACACCTAAAAGTGACTCACAGCCTTCAAAACCTCCCACATGCATCCCCTATGGTGCTTAAAATATTCTAAGCTACGTTGACTTTTTTACTGACATAACTTGTGAAAACCACACAAAAATCCCCTTGGTACAACATTTTGTGGAACTTACCTTTTGGGTATTTGGCTATGAACGTGAGATCGCATTAAAATTAGTTATTTGATTGAAATCAGCAACCCAACAAAAGCTGATTAGATTATTGTTGTTGCTGCAGTTTATTTATGACATCATAATTTAAATAACTGTCACGTAATATTCAGTATGGTATTTTTATATTTCTTGTGCTCAAATGCTATACCCAGTTATGACTTCTGATAATTTTTCATACTAAAAAGGTCACAGAAGTAAATAAAGAAATGCTGCTTTTTAAATGCTACCTTTAAATCTCATTTTTACCACAATGTAATAAGTGCATTTTTAAGAGTTTGCAGCATTGTGTTGCGATAATACTATTTTCCTTTACATTTCATATAGTCATTTAAAAAATCCTTCCGAAAATAACACCATCATTATATAATACGGTATACATGTAATTACCACTGTAAAGTAGTGCATGTAAACTCACCTTGGTCGGTCTGCTCTTGTGAATACTGCTGTCCTGTAGTTAGTGGAACGTTGTCACCAAAAAACTTTGAGAAGTTGCAGTGACACCTGTTTTTTTATACCCAGCGTCTGCACGCCTTTATGACCGGATGATGTGGGCGTTTGAAGGAAGATCTGAGTGTTTGAACATGATTTGGGTAAGAAGGAGGGCACTGGTTCAAGACCCATGCAGTACGACAGTCAAATTCACGTTCTTCTTTGTTGAAATAAAAAAAGTCAAGAATGTTGCGGTTTCTTGGGAGATTTCACAATTGCTAATAACTGAGAGCTCCCACAGCAATAGCTGCAAAATTTCCTAAAAGTGAAAATTAAAGGGTACTACGTAGCCTTTGTGCCTAATTCAGTGAAAGTGCAATGATGCCTGAAGTCAACCAAGGAAATACAGTACTGTATTTTCCAAAACTGTAGTAAATTATATTTATATTGAAAAAACTGCATCTACCTATAATTCGTGAGATATTAATTTTCAAATAGACAATGCTATCACATAATTGGTTTCTTTAATGTAATACCTTATAAGTATAGAGTCAGTGCAATATAAAATTGTTAACAATTTGCTTGCTTTCAACATAATGGTTTTTACACCATTGGAAACCTCATTTGCCAGTAACAAAATATGATAATTGTTTTTTTTACCTTTTTATCTGGCAACAAAACTGACACCTTTTTTTACAAGGAGTCATGTTTACATTGACCACAATACCTGCGGTCGGAACGCAAACAAAAAACAACAACTCTGTTGTTTGCGTTCCGACCGCAGGTATTGTGGTCAATGTAAACATGACTCCTTGTAAAAAAAGGTGTCAGTTTTGTTACCAGATAAAAGGGTAAAAAAACAATTATCATAATGGTTTTTATTATTACACGCTTTTATTTAACTCACTGTCTGTTGTATCCTCAACTCTGTTGTATCCTCAAATCTTGTAACTCAATTTTAATCCACTTCGACATGTCGTATCGACTGCAAACTTGGTATACGTATGGCATACTGATGACAATACTATATTCTATAATAAAAAAATCTATTTGAAGCAATTTTTTTATATCTTATGTTTCGGCTTGGGTCTAATTGCCCACGCTCAACTCACGTTGGCTGTAAATGACCACGGTCCCCTTACGTTGTGGCAAGCTTCGGGGCCACTTCCTGGAGTCGTGGAGTTCTGACATTACTAGTATGGTACATTTCATTAAAGCGCGTTTAAAAAAAGTATTTTAAATATTACTTATTATCTGAAAAACAATTGGCACATTTGCCCACGTGAGAACTTGATTTGTTTGGCTTCGTCAAGTGTTGGAGAGTTTATACAGTGTTTCTCATCAACACGATACCTACATGATCTAACTAAAAACAACCTATTTTGAATCAGCGCTATCACAACTACATTGCTACTAAACCGTTAAAAGATAATGAACGCTTAGTCCAAATACTCGGATTAAAAGGAGAAAGGAAAGTACAATGCAACGTAACACATTCTTTCTTCTAATGCCAACGCATTAATGGGGCCAAGTCAAAGTTGAGAAAACACTGCATACAATGAAAATCAGAGAATGTTATGAGAACAAAGGTCAAATTCGCCAGCACCAATGGCAAAAATGCACGTGGGTTGCAAACACAGGAATGCTTTGTGGTTTAAAGGAGGCGAGGATATTACCTTTGCGTGTTACCTGTGACGTCCGCTAGCTTGCTGGAATGTGGTCCGGTTAGCAGTTGATCCTGAGGGGATAATGTCCCACCACAACTAGCGACCGCAGAGGCTTCGCTGTGGCCCCAGGGATTGTTGTTCTGGCAGATAGCGAAGGTCTTTGTGGACCGTGTATCCTGTTTGTGTGGCCCCTTGCCGCTTTGTACAAGTGATTACTTTGTACAGATGCAAAACATCAAAGAGATTTTAATTACAACGAAGGCACTACAGGGATGTGGGAAGGTGGGAGGGGGGGAGGCAGCCACTCTTCAGATTTCTGTATGACTGAACAAGCATTTGTTGATATTGCGTTGGCAGCGGTTCAAAAGCGCAAATAGGCAAAAAATACTCAACACGTTCATTCATAATACTGCCTTAAAAGAAAAAGAAAAAGTAGGTGATGCTTTGGGCAATGTCCCTTCTTCATGACATGTTCTTTTAAACCAATGATATTGACGAACATGTTGCACTTTAAGGAAATGTCTCTCCACCAAATTGGTTCCCGCACCCTACTGGAGAGATGAGGTGCACGCCTCACCCGAGTTCCCATGGCGAGATGTTGACTATCTCACCTGGTATACAGGAGGTTGCGGGTTCATTCCCGACCCTGGAACCAGTATATTTAGAGTTTGCATGTTCTCTCAGTGGTCACGTGGATTTTTCTCCGGGTCATCCGGATTTTCCCTTCACATTTAGAAACATGCGTTAGTGTATTTGGCTGCTATAAATTTCCACGTGATAAGCCACTTCATTGAGCTATGATTTGTGGCCAGAATGCTTCTAAAAAAGAGCTATATAGCTCAGTGGGCCTTACCTGGTAAAATAAAATTTGTTCAGTTTTAGTTTAGTTTCGAACAAATTGATATTGAAAGTGGAATGATTCCATGCGATTCCCCTATCTCTTGTGATTGAATGACTTTTTATGATTCAGAATCATAATTAAATTCAAGAACTATTGTTTTACAATTAGTGAATGTAGCAGCATGCAGTTGCTGCAAGAGGTAAGTGAACCCACGCCATAAAACACATTCGGATGAAAAAAAAGAATTATTATGAATGAAATTTGATGCACATATCACGAGTCCAAGATCGGATATTGCAGTAGTTGATTAATCGATGAGCCATTAAACTGCAAGTGGATACCCCATCATGGCTGACCAAAACAATTATGGTCACGATACTAATAACTAAATTCATATTGTTACATTTTCAGTAGAACTACTTAGCCATTTGACATGTGCAACAGCTACAAGGTTAGTGTTATTTTGCTAAGCTTTTGTAAGTGCACTTGACTCACTGACTGAAAGTTGTAAGATAAAATCCTGGTTGGCATTCACTGCTGGATGAGTGCTTCCTTATGCCGTGTCAATCATGGCGTTTATTTGACCATACTTTACCTTGCTGGTCAGTGCGGATGGGTGAAGGGGGGAATCCAAAACTGGTTCGAATATCACTAGCCACTGGTGTTAGTTAGCTATGGTTGGGAATCACTCAGGTCACCGTGTTTGTAGCGCAGTGCACCAGCTACTATCTCACAACTTCACCTGCCCATCATCCCTCTTCAGTTGTTAAAACAGGTACCACTTTCCAAGAAGTGACCAGTGGTTATCTCATGGAGATACT